ATTTCTTCTGTTGACTCCTCCCTTTCCTGGGCATCTTGGTCTTTGCTCATCATCCCTCATATGGTATTTTCAATTTTTTCCATAATCTTATTAAATCCTTTGTCCATGTCTTTTGTGTTTTAAAAAAGTAAGTCCATCTCCTTCACAATTCTACTCATTTCTTCCTTCTTAAGTATTTCATTTTATTTTAAAAGATTCAATTTTTATCCAGCAGCCCAGAACTATTTATTCAGTCTTTAAGTTACCCTTCAAGGAGTGCTTTAGTCCCAGTTTTTTTATGTCCCCTAGGTTAACAACCAGTTCCATTTAAGTAGTCCCAGAGATTATCAAAAGCCCCTTTACATCCCTTTTACAGATTCAGTCTTCTAGTATAACATTCAAGTGTCTCTTTAATTGAATATTTTCCTCATTTTCATATTTGGGTCTCAGTAGTCATAGGGTAACTAGAAGTAATCCAACGGGCATTTTCATTGTTCTTCATATAGGTATTCCCAGATTGTAAATTTTCCTTTTGTCAGCAGGTGACACTCTCCACTTAAATTTCAATTTACTAGTCCATTGTCCATCATCATTTTGGATATACAACAGTTATTAACGTAAAATAAGTTTTGTAAGTAAGTTATTCCAGCATTTAAAATGCCTTCCCAGTACCACGTCTTCCAAAGTTAGGAGTCCAATTTCTATTTATTTCAGAATCTGTTTTTTACTCTCCTGTGCCTTCATTTCCGATCAGGTATTTCCTCTGAATGCCTCAAAATGTTTAGACATTGCTTTAACACATAGTTCTGAGCAAATAGCTCTAAATTATTTCTTGGGGTTAAATTTAGAGCAAAAGAAAAATCCTCTCCCCCAGTTCCAACACCGTTCACCCACTTCTCTCCAGCACATCTTCGGTTGTCCCAGCTTTGTAGCAGCCGTCTTTATCTGCCTCTTCTTCTTGCTGTGGCCCCTCTTTGCTTCACCACCCCTACAGGGCAGTTTTGGCTCCTTCCAGAGCCCACAAACTCGGCATGGGAGTGTGGAGACCTGCTCTGGATGTCCGATCCTACCGGGATGTCAACCGGAAGTCAGAAAAAATTAATTATTCTATAAGGGTAGTTTGGAGGGAGGGAGCTAAATGCAGTATTGAAGTTTAAGTTCAATACTGTATGTTAAAGTTAAAGAATAAGAAGTATTATATAGCTTTGACTTAAAAGAAAAAAAAGTGCCTTTTTTGTTTTTAAAAAAGTTTAGTACTTTGAAGGAAAAAAGGAGGGCCAAAGAATTTGAAAGAATATAAGCAGCTTTGTAAATAAAAATGGCCACAGTTTATAAAGATTAGTAGGTGCAAATAGAAATACATGTTATTTCCATAGCAAGGAAGATAAAGTAGGAATGGTTAACTTGATTACTTTATTTAAAGAGGAAAATATGTTATTTGGATATCACATCTGGAATTTATGCTTGTGATGAAAAAAATGAAACTTTGAACTTGGTTTTGTTGATCAGAAAGATTTGGTGTTATAAAAATGGCTAATTATATATTAATGTGTAAAAGCAAAAACTTGAAGCTGGAATGTGTTTATCTTGTACTGAGCTAGGAAGAGTTGAAAGTTAATGCCCCCTTTTCTTTCTTTTTCTCTTCCCCCTTGTATTCTACATCCCCTTTTCCTGTTCCCTTTCCTGCTCTTAATTTCTTCTTTTCTTTTTTGTGTGTATTTTATATTTTATATAATAAAATAAAATTTTAAACAATCAAACTTATTGGGGACATCTTTTGGCTTCTGGTGTTAGTCTGGCTTCAGATATGCTAGAGCCACATTTGCCTCTACACTGCCTTGAACTAGCGGGGAGCCATGGTTGCTTTTATTGAGATGGCACTTTGAAAAATGTTTAAATGGGACTGCTTATAAATCTTTACATGTGCAGAGGATCCTTGGGGAATGTCAGCTGTATGAATAAACACATATAACTCCTTATCTCATGTGTGTGCTTGTGGACTGGAACAGGACAGATTTTCTTTAATTCAGCCCCTCTCTGACTTCTTCTAGAAAAGGGGTCGGCAACCTGCGGCTCTGGAGCCGGTTATGGCTCTTTCATCCCTCTTCTGAGACTCCCTGTCGCCAGTCAGTTCCACAACTGATAGGGCTTTCGGTTAGGACAGGAAGAGAAAAAAGGATGGTGCGCTAGGAGGAGACTCTATGGTGATGGTGGTGGTGAAACTGTATTTCCGGCTGGCAGAGGAAAAAAGGATGCTGCGCTATGAGACTATGGAGGGGGAACCAGACTTTTGGTCGGCTCCAGAATTGAACATGGGGCTTCTGGTTAGGACCTTTGTGTCTCTTTTATTTATTTATTGTTTATTTATTGGTTCGATTTATATGCCGCCCTTTTCCGGAGACTCAGGGCAGTTTACAATGCATTAAGCAATAGCCTTCATACTTTTGTATATACCTGCTTAGTAGGGCTTTCGCCTCCCCCCCCCAAGCGGTGTTCTTTTTTATACAAAGTCAGTTTATTGCCCCCACAAACCAGGTCCTCATTTTACCTACCTCGAAAGGATGGAAGGCTGAGTCAACCTTGAGCCTGGTGAGATTTGAACTTGCAGTAATTGCAGGCAGCTGGTGTTACTTAACAGTGCTTTAGTCTGCTGTGCCACCAAGGCTCTTATGAGTGTTAAGGTTGCTGACACATGTTCTAGAAGATCTGAAATCATGACTAAAGTAATATTTGAGGTTTTAGTCAGGATGCATGTTAGACAACTTACCTAGATAGCATTATATTCAGCTTTTAAATAGTGTCGGGAGAAAGGCATGATCATATTATACTCCATCCCACTGGATATATATCTTGCCAAAGGCAGCAAAGTCGTTCATAGAATTTTCTTCAAGGCTTCCTTTATCAGCCATCTTGTTGACCCAAAGCCTCAACCTCCTTATGGGGCTCTCCTAACACTCCAAGAGTGAGGAGTGGAAATAGAGATAAGGATATCAGTAAAGACTACCTTCCAATGTTGAATAGAGATCTTTTGTACACCAAACCAGAGGCAGATTGTCTATTTCCTGGACTTGACCACACATGATCTACAATGGTCTCTATGAGCTTGGGAATTAGTAAACTCACAAAACAATTGGTGTGTCATTTGCTACTGTTTGGAGTTTGCTCACACAAAATTCTAGTGAATCTAAAGCAGTTTTTAGTTCATTCAACTTTTCCTGATAATGGTGGATGATAGGGGCTATGCAATGTCTGTTCTACTCACAAAGCATTTGCCAGTTCCTTTAGCACAGGAATGTCAAACTCGATTTCATTGAGGGCCGCATCAGGCTTGTGTTTGACCTCGGGGGGCCAGGGTGGGCATGGCCAACTTGATGTCACTCATGCCGGGGGCACCTGTAATGGCCTAAGAGCTCTGCCAGTGAAAATGGGCTCCCAAGCTCCATTTTCAGCTGCCATGCCTTCCTGCAACCCTCTGCCGGGGAAAATGGAGCTCGGGAGGGCTGACCATGGCCCTCACGAGCTCTATTTTCGACTGTGATGGTGTCCTGCAACTCTGCCAGCGAAAACGGAGCTCAGGAGCTGTTTTTGCTGACAGAGGCACTGCGGGCCAGTCCTTTGCTGTTTCTGGGGTGACCCTGTGGGCCAGATCTAAGCACTCCATGGGCCAGATCTGGCCCCCAGGCCTTGAGTTTGACAGCCCTGTTTTAGCATGATATGTGTGAACAACACTAAATGTATAATGGATAGCAAGCCAAACCTAGATACAATATTCCTAGATACAATATTTTTCAGTCATGTCCTAAATGCTCTAAATGTTTAAAGGTCCATAATCAGATCCTAAATGTCAGTCTTTGAAGCCTGAGTATCTTCCACCAATCCAGTTCTTCTTTGAAAAATAATATGTGTCTCCATCTTCAACAGGGAGAGTGATACAGACTATTTGCAGGTTCTCAAAAGTTTGAGTTACCCAAGGCTGGGCTCCTTTTCTTTTTTTATGCATTAAAGTCATTACATGTGGAACAGTACTATCAATTGCTTTGTTACAGGATATATTTCAGGGGCAAATCTAATTTTCCATATACTGAAGAAGCTACTTTTCTTGTTTCAAACAAACAAGAAAAGAAATCCAGTTGACATGATTCAACTTCCAGAGAATCTTCTCTGACTGAGAATCTTTATCAACTAATTTTCAACACAGGTCTAAAGGTCCTTCCACACCACAGGGCTCCTGCAGGTGAATCAACTGTAAAACAGTCCTAAAATAGTGTTGTGTATAATAGATCAATAATCTGGAAATTTCCACGTTTGCTTCCTTAGCTTTGCCTCAGATTTCTTCCATGGATAGATTTTGGCTGCAGGAACACAAGTTGTGTGCTACTGTAGAAATAGCTATTTAAATTATGAATCAGCTAAATATCAGACTTAATAGTATTTGAGAACAAGCCTGAAGTAAACAAAATAAAGTATTTTGGGAGTAACAAACTATAGATGGAAATGTTGATTGATTTTGAAATGACTTTAAGAGAGGAGGAAAATATTTTTTTGTCAAGATCATGGATACTAGCTGCCATTTAAGAGAAGTAGAATATAGATTTGATGTAATGGGTCTTAGGAATGAGGAATATATATGAAATATTGATTGTTAAAATGACAAAGATTTGGAATGGTATCTATTTGGAAATAATTGTTTAGAATTTTGGGTGATATAGTAGAATGATAAATGTTTAGAATAAGACTTTTTTTTCTTTTTTCTTTCTTTTTTTTAAAGATGTAAATGGATAAAATTTGGAACAAAATTGGTTGAGGGAATGTGAGTAATTGTACTTGCTCTAAAAAGATGTATTTTATGTTTTGTTTAAAAAAAATAAAAAAAACTTTTTTCAAAAAAAAGTGTGCTATTGTGAAAACTGTCACTTGAAAATTAAAATTTAATGACTTCAAGACTGTGTCACAGTATGAATATTCATAGACTGGAATAGGCAAGAGATCAGCCAATGGGGACTGTTTGGATAGACATGGTAACAGGTCAGCCAATGGGGACTGTTTGGAAGTATTTGTTTGTATGGGGCCATAAGAGACAGTTTGGAGTCTGGGCGTGGCTTGGACTTGCTGAACTGTATAGAAGAGTTGGTTTGGCTTCTGTGAGGTAGAAATGAGGTAATTAGTAGCAAATAAGGTGAATAAAAGAAATAATCACTCCAAGTCAGATACATAAAGTCAGATCAAATATATGAACTTTGAATAACCTTCTCTATTAAACTTTGAGAGAACCTATCTATTCACATAAGTATACGTGCTTGTTAGAGGCAGCTGAACTTCATTATTGGTAAATATATCTTCTGATGAGGCCCAGCTGTCATCCATCCGGTCATGGATTACCTCATAATTACTTGACCTATGACACTGTGTCAAACACACTGCTTCTTAATAGAATCAGAAACTACGGAAATTCAGATCTATGGGAACATCTGAAAGGATACAGAAAGTTACTTATTGTTTAAAGTATAGCCATAATTTCTGCATTTAAACATTACAGCACTTAAAGGAAAGTTGTAAACTATAAAATTATGGGTTAAGTAAAGTTGTAATAGTTTAATGATTAGTAATTGATGGAGTAGTGAAAATGTGTAAGCCACAATAATTTTATTAACTAGTATGTAATGGTTTGGTAATTAGTAAAGTGTAATGTAAGTATAATGTATTTTTAATGTAACCATATATGGAAGCCGGAAGGGCTCATAGAACTCTTTGTCTTGAAAACATATATAAATCGTGAAATCATAATTAATTCTTGTTCAGATTTGCTAGAACCAAACACTGCACTGAACCTTTGCGCAAATAAATGCATCTGTCTGACCCAGGAATGTGTTTCAGACTCTCATTTTCCACAACATCTGTAATGGCTGCCTCTGTATAATATATACCCTCTGTATCTCTCTACTCTGTAATGCCTCCCTTCTATGAATATTGCTTCTGTGTTCCTGATATTGTATGCTGAATTTTGCTGCATGATATTGTATATAAAGAAGTTTCTTATGTAGTTGAATCCTGCAGAATTATTTGTGTGTCTGATTGTGTGTGCTGCAACAAACTCTGATAGCCTGCAGGCTATTTTGCATGGGTGCTGCATGGGCTTACAGAATCTGTTTTCCTGCTATTTTCAGAACAATGCAGCTTTGGCTTTTGGAAGAACAATTGCTTTCAGGATGGCCTGCATATCTGTGGCATTTACATTCTTCCTTCAACTTGAGGTGTGAAAACTCTGTTTTCACAATTGTCCAGTTGCATAATAAATTCCAAAGGAATTCTAAATGACAGTGTAAATATTTGATGATATCAAAAGCTGTAGACAAGAGCAAGAACGGATGGGACTTCAAAGGCCTGTATCTGTTCTGACTCGGGTCACGCTGACAAGCGCAGATGCTAGCTAAGTCAGTTTATTGCACAGTGACAGACAACCCTCCCAATGGGGTTAATAAGGCTCCACCCAAACCCCGACAGCAGTACTACACAGACCCACAACCTGAGTCCTGAGACAGTGACAAACACAATTCCTAGTCCACAAATCAAAGTCCTAGATTCCAAAAATGCAAAGCTAAGTCCGGTTTAGGCAAAGTTTAGGATCAGCAAGGCAAGTTCGAGGTTCAGAGTCCACAAAGCCATAAAACACGATTCACAGTCCGCAAAGGCCAGGAAGCAAACAATTGTTCCTGACAAACAGCCTTCCCCCTGCCTAAATCACCCCACACTAGGTATTCCAAGTGAGAAAAGGCGAGGCTGCTTCCTTATGAGTAACCTTGACAACCTCTGTGTCTCCCTTTGCTCCATTCTTCTCAGCTGAAGATCTGGTGGAGGAGGCAGCTGTTCTTCATCAAAGTGATCGGTAGCCTTTAATCATCACTGGCCCTTGGTAGCTGGTCCTCTCATGCAGGCGGCTATCATCTAGTTGACTGCCCTCCCCATGCCAGACAGGCCTGGGAGTGGTTTGTTCTTGGGCCCTGGGCTCTCCAGGCATTATAGGGCAATCATGTCATCCCTGTTGGAGGGTTGAACTCATCCTCCTCATAGCTGGCGCCATCACAGTACCTCCAGAGGTCATTATTCCACCTTTAATCAGTTTTCCTGTGCTACCAATCTCACAGAGGAACAAGTTATGAAAGAGGGACAAGTTTTACCTAACAAGGCTGAATTGAAAGTGGACTTACAAATGAAATGCCACAAAAATTACATGGAAAAAATGTTATACTACACATAGAAAAGAAGTTGGCTGTTTTAATAATTAAAAGGGATAAATAATAAACCAAGAGTAACCGGGATAATTTTTCTATATGGGATTTACAAAAGACTTGAAGAATCTCATGAGGAGACAACGAAGAAATGAAAAGAGATCAATGAAAAGAAATAAAGTTCTATGGTATTATTTGAAAGGACTAAAGATAAAGATTGTTAGAAATAAAAGGGAGAAATATAAAGTTGGTCTAATTTGTTCAAGGTTAAAATAGATATGTTTAACTCTGAGGGAGATGGGTGGTTATATAAATATAAATAAATAAAAATTTTATTTTTGGTAACCCATCATGAATTTTTGCTGACACCAAGACTGAAATGACAATATTTTATGGATTTGTTTACAGATAAAGAGAGGGGATATGGGAAGACACAATCATTTTTGTAATTTAAGAGGTGAAGTTACTAAAATTGTTTATACTTTTTGTGATGAAGGTTGAGATTCACTCCTTTATATATCTTTTCTTTTTCTTTACTATATTTCTAATTCTGTTTCATTTTTTCTATTCTTTTATGTCTTTCCTATTATTCCTCTGCTGCTTTTACTCCTTTTTTTAGCCTGTGTTATTTTTTTTCCCTTTAATAAAATTATTTGGAAAAAGAGGAAATTGACTAAAGGTTAAAAGTGGTTTCCTATCTGGTTTTAGCATTGCTCATAACTCTTATCTCATTCAATGAGATTTTAGAGGAAGTGGTTTTAATCATTCAGACTGAGTGATATGATTGAATAGGTATTACTTTTAAAAAAAGTTTCTCATATAGCGTGGATTTCAAAGGAGTTATCAAAAAGGTGAGTATGAGAAGGAAGCCCTGTGACATATGGAGATAAATCAGCTGCTTCCTTTTTCATTGTTTGCAAGTTTTGAAAACTTCTAAGTGTATGGATTTGAATTCCCAGAATTGTTATCAATGGCTAGGCAGGTTATGGTTAATAAACACGATCAGTGTGAAAATCCATTCTTAAATTTATTAATCTGAATATTATATAATCATACTTAATAATGGTTTATTTACCAAAAATGAACTAGTTGTAACTAGTTATAGTTATGAACTACAGTTATAATGTACACTGAAGATGGAATTTAATTTCGTTCTACAAGGCGCAATGACAATAAAGTAAACTAAAAACTAAATACAGCTAAAAATGAATCAGAAAATCTCTACAAAATAAATAGAAGCAGCAGCCTATTGCAGGACCTCATCCTCTGCAGGAGATAGAGATATGAATATACATTATCTACGAAGTAAAATGAAGAAAGTTAGCACCTACCTCTCTTAGAAGAATGAAATATTTTAGGAAATATTAAAAACGCAGGATATTGTATTTCCCTGGATTAGAAAAGGAGAAACATGCTCTTGGAAAGCAGCCCCTACCTTTGTTAATAGCCCCAGAAAGACTGGGCCATCTTATCTACAAGACAAAAGGCCTTCAGCTCCAGATTGATAGGATTAGCCCTCACTCAAGATCCAAACCAGGAAAAAGCCATTTAGCCATAATAGGAATTGCCCAACACCCTTTCAGAACATAAACCTCTTCATTACATCATCACCCAGCAAGATTCAACCAAGCCTGGGACAGATAGCCTACAGGTTAGCTGGACCCCTGCATAACCCCCTGGGAGTCTGACAACTAATAGGATATATTTCTTGCACAGGAATAGGAAGCTCTAGGACAAGGCCCAAGAGAGGGTATAAATGTATTTCTCTCTCCATGTGGTCAGCTACCCAGAATCACACGTGCTTGGTGGTTCTGCTTCACCATTAAACCATCCTTCCAAGAAGTCTCCATGTTTTCAGTGTCTTTCTCCCCACTTAGAACTGAACCCAGATAGACATTTCTTCTAACAAAAAAAACTGCGACCAGTCAGTATCAGTTCTCTCTGAATTGAATAGGACTGAACGCTATTTTTGGAACCAAGCTAATGCATATTGGAAGTCCAAAAATGAAATTACAATTAATATCCAGTATTTTATCAATGAACATTAAAGGTAATCACTTGGAATTCAATAGTTACAGTTTGCAAACTAACAGAGAGATCTTCAGCAGTTAACAGTCTGAGGGGAAATTAATACATTTAATTCAATGACAAAAGAACAGAGGCAGATTCAAAGAAGAGTGGAGGAAATGGGATTTTGAGAAATGATTCATTTTACTGAATGAACTGTATAAACTGAGGAAGCAGAAAAATTAAAAGGGAAAGATGCAGCATTAAATGTTGGCCCAGCACAACACTGGATTCATTTTACCCAGAGCAATTTGAGCCAATAATCACACTTCTTTGTAGAACTTCTTTTTACTTAAGTTATCAATAGAATCATTATGATTTGGGCAGCTCTATGGTTTATCTTTTTTTCAGCAGAGAATGATCTCACAAAGTTTAAAAGTGTTTCTATTCTGTATTGTTTTCTATTCTGGAAAAATAATGGTGAACTTTGTTTAATTCTGGTGAGTTTTGTGTCCAACAAGGAAATGTTTGCTGTTGAAATGTTTCATTCTTGTCACTTTTTCTCTTTTAATTGCCAGAAAAACAGTACAGATCCTAGAAGAACCCTCTCTGGCACACATACTGTGACTTTTGAAGTGGTGACTTTTGAAGTGGAAACCTGGTTTTGAAAAATCCTTTAATCCGGAGAGTAGCAAGAGATGTGCTTACACACCCAAACTGGAAGTCTCACACGCATCGTTTAATTATGTTGTGTGGTTTTGTTTTTGTTTTGCTCAAAAGCATTGTAAACTTTCAGTCAAAAAAGCAAACCTCTATAAAAGCAGAACTAAAAAAATAGATTTTGGAGATGAGTCACCTTGCACAAGATGTCATTTATAACCTTAGCCAACCAACTTAAAATTTAAGCGAGTAATTTTTACAAATACAGAAAAAACACTTATGGTAAAAAATATGTTTTTAATTCTGTAAACAAATAATACCATTTGAAAGTGACTAAACATTTACTCAAAATACATATTGCTGTCAAAATAAACAAAGTAACAAAAGTGCCAAACAATAAAAGGCACAACATTCAACACCACAATAGTTTCGAGGCACAAATTTCTGTTACATTTAGCTAATATAGCTTACTGAGGGATTTGTCTTGTAAAAATAATTGGAAGACTCCAAATGAAATGCTTGTTAAAAGGATTCTGAATGAAAAATTTAAAATATATTTTCATTTAAATCATAGCAACCATTTCAAAAATAGCCCTTTTGCTTTTACCTAGAACCCTCTTCCCCCAAAAACCCAGTATGCAAATGGATTACAGTACAGTAAAGCAAAAGTTGGTTTTCTCGTATGGTTCTAATGTCCCAACAAAACAGGTAGCAGCTAATAAACTCCAATGCTCCTTGATAAAACCTACTAAAGCTTATTTATTGATGTGTTAATTGTTTCCACAACATTTAATAAAGTACAGCTCCATTCCTTTAAAACGTCTACATAAAAATGAAAACTATTTGGCCTCGTTTTGAACTGGCAGGGTATTGAACTTAACTGTACCTAACAAAATCTCCAACAGTTGAAATTATAACGCATTCCAGAATTCAACGTTGAGCATACCTACGTACTTAAATAAGCAAACTTAAGATACCGGTAGGCATGAAATAAATTATGGAAGGTCACATACATGAAAGTTACATCTTATTACAGGCCTGAGTCATTAGGACATTAATATAAGCGCATGCAGTCCAAAATATGTTGTTTACAAAAGAAAGATCCTAGCTTATGGGACTGCTATCCAGGCTTCGGCTTCTTTTTTCTAGATGCATTTTCCGGTAGGTTTCAAAGGTGGCTTTGGAATCCTTCATGGACCCATGGAATACTTCATTTCCTTCCAGTATTTTTATTGCTGCGTCAAGTGGAATTTCATCATTAACTGCAAGATTAGCAACAAAACCATCCTATTATTTTAGCTTGGTGTCTTACAATAGAAATATGCAAACAGAATGTGTGTTTTGCTTCATGCAGATAACAAATGCATGGTATCCAAAAATTCAGTGGAACCATTCTGAGCAGATTGCAGTCTGGGTGAACCAAAACTGGAATTGTTTCAATTGTTAAAAGCTTTGGAAATAAGCAGGACAAGGCTACTCTGTCCCATCCTCCTCTATGGGGACTGTGAGCCTTGCCCTCATATATTTGCAGCAACTTTATCTTATCTCCTTTTAGCTGCCACGCACCTATCTGATATTGATCCCTTCCCTTATCTGTAGACTAATACTGAGACTCTCTCCTTGCAGTAAAGCCTGTGGGGTGCACTGGTAAAATCTCACAGCTTTTTACTGGTATCATGGAACACAAAGGTTTATGCTTCCAAAGCCAAATGACATCAACACCGACCTTTATCTCCTGGAGAAGGTAATCAAATAAAACCAAATACGTTTTCTGCACAGTCCTCAAAATCAAATTACAAATAATCCATCTGGCTCTGTCTGCAGGTCTATTTAGCCAAGCATCTTTAATCCACCACAGCCAGCCAGATTTTTCTGAGAAGCCAACAAGTAGGGTTGCAAGTCTCTCCTGTTATCAATTGATTACCATAGTTTTCGGAGTATAAGACACACTTAGTTTTTGGGGAGGAAAGTAAGAAAAAAGCTGATTGGCAGGTGGATCAGCCTCTCGAAATACCCCCAATCAGCTGTTCCCAGAGGTGAATTTTAGTAACAGGTTCCTTGGTTGTGAGCTCTGTGCCTTGCTTTTCTTCCTGCCTCTGAAACAGAAAAAAAGCCTCTGAAGCTCTGCTTGGGGGCTTTTTTTCTGAAGCTTCTTTTCTAATGCTTATTTCAGCCTCTGAAACCTCCATTTGAGAAGATGGGTGGCTCTACATTCAGAGTATACGGTCTGAATGTCACTCATGCCCTCGTCACTTCCCGTCTGGACTACTGTAATGCTCTCTACATGGGGCTCCCCTTGAAGAGCACTCGGAGGTTCAACTGGTTCAGAATGCAGCCGCACGGGTGATTATGGGAGCGACACGGCGCACCCATGTAACACCTCTCCTGCGCGAGCTGCACTGGCTCCCAGTGGTCTTCCGGGTGCGATTCAAGGTGCTGGTTACCATCTTTAAAGCGCTCCATGGCTTAGGACCTGGGTACTTACGAGATCACCTTCTGCCACCGATAGCCTCACACCGGCCAATACGCTCCCACAGACAGGGACTCCTCGGGGTGCCGTCGGTCAAACAATGTTGACTGGCGACCCCCCGGTGGAAAGCCTTCTCTGTGGGGGCACCTGCCCTCTGGAATGAATTGCCCCTGGACATTCATATGATCCCTGACCTACGCACCTTTCGCCGTGCCCTCAAGACATTATTGTTTCAACAAGCTGGGCTGGCTTAAACTTGAATTTTAATGGTTGTCTTAGTTTTTTTTTAATATTATAGGGGCCAAATTATTTAATATGTTTTTAAACTGTTTTTAAATTTTATGGATATGAGTGTTTTATTGTGGCTGTGCACCGCCCTGAGTCCCTCGGGAGAAGGGTGGTTAAAAAATTTATAAATAAATAAATAAATAAATAAATAAATAAATAAATGACGCATTCAGATTTTCACCCTCTTTTTTGGGGGGAAAAATGTGCATCTTATACTCCGAAAAATACGGTAACTGTGTTACCATATCTCATTTTTATCTCATTTTTGATAGCTAGATTAGTCTAGCAAGAGTAATTCCAAAAGTATCAATCTGCTGGGATGTTACTCACAAAATATATAGAAATGGAAGGAAGAACAAAGTATTGTTTGGCAATCTGAGTGGTGTTGATGAAACTTCTGCTCACCTCCTAAATCAAATGGCTAAGTTTTACCTGGCTAATGGTTACCTTGAATTTCATTTTCTTCCGTTTTTCTTCTTTTCACAGGACAATAATTTAACCAATCTTCTCTTTTACTTTTGACTGCTGTAAATAAGAATTAGAAGCTTATTGTTTGATAAGAGGATGTAAAAAGCGAGCCAGATTTACTACATATAGTACAATGGCTAAGATACAAGTAGTCCTTGAGTTACAACAGTTCATTTAGTGACCATTCAAAGTAAGAACAGGACTGATAAAAGGGACTTATGTTTTTCACACAACCATTGCAGCATCCCCATGGTCATGTAATAAAAATTCAGATGCTTAGAAACTGACTCATATTTATGACAGTTGCAATATCATGCGGTCATGTGATCACATTTTGTGAGCTTCTGACAAACAAAGTCAATGTGGAAGCCAAATTCACTTAACAACTGTGTTACTAACTTAGCAACTGCAGTGATTCACTTAACAATTGTGGCAAGAAAGGTTGTAAGATGGGACAAAATTCACTTAACTGTCTCGCTTAGCAACAGAAATTTTGGGCTCAACTGTGGTTGTAAGTCAAGGACTATATATATTTGCCCTAATGGCTAAAACTCTAAACAAACTATATGAATATATACTATTTTACTATCTATATTAATGTCAGAATATTCATGAACTGGGATAGACATGGCAACAGGTCAGCCATTGGCGACTGGCTGGAATAGGACATGGTAACAAGGATAGCCAATATATAATCATAGCAACTAAATCAGCCAATGAGGGCTGTTTGGGAGTTGAAACAGCTTGGAGCCTGGGCATGGCTTATGGTTAGCTCAACTGCCCTGTATAGAGGTGGTTCACCTTGTCCGTATTAAGTTCGGAGTCTGCTGCTGGAACTAAAACTAATCTGTCCTCTCTACCACGTTGGAAGAACCACTATTAGTATTGTACATTTACTCATGTGTTATTATGTATATAAAGAAGTTAATGAATCCTGCTGAATCAGTTATCTGTGTGTACTTTCTGGAAGTGACTTTTGCAACAAACTCTGACAATTAAGTTTTTGAAATTTAGGGAATTTCCATCAGAACAAGATGATAGCCAGATGAAATCCAAACTGTAACAGATACTATTAGCTACTGTGGTGTTGAGATCTTTAGTATCTTGCTACAGATTTCTACTGATTGAAGGATATTTTAAAAAGCTTTCTAGCCAAATTAAAAGGCATTTTATAGATATTTAACACTTTAGACATAGCAATATAAATGCAGGATTAGCTTGCATTTGTAATATTTTAAAAAGAAAATACTGTTATGGTTTACTTTGGCTGATTAAAAGGAAACCCAACTGTACCTGTAACAGATATCCTGTTTTTTTCAGGAAGCTTTGTTGCTTCTAGAGTTTGTTCTTCAGAGGTGGACTTCCTAAATAATATTTCTGGACACATTTTGAATTCAAGCATTTGTGGCCTCTCTGCTTCAGACATTTGGGATGAAGAGCTGCCTTTTTGGTGGGGTTCAGAATCCTCAGTTCCATTATTTGATTTCACGTGCCAAAGGGGTTTGGAGTGCACCGAATCCAGGCTTGTCAAACGAATAGTCTTCTGGGCAGTCCGTTTAAATGCCACTCTGTTCAAATAGTTTTTCTTTTGTTCCTTCTGCAGAAAAACTGTGTGTTTATTTTTTCTTTTAAAACATTTTTTATCAGAAAGTGATTTCACAGACCACTTGTCTGGGTTACTACTATCCAATGTGCCTTCTTTGACTGGAGAGTGGACTTCATTGGAAGGATTATCTCTTTCATTCTGGGATGCAGGAATTCTATTATCGAAATGTGAGCTTTGACATTCATTTTTCTTATCTTTTCTGTATGCATATTTCTCTAGATTTATTCTTTTAACAAGTTGTGTGAGATTTTGTTCGACACGCTGCTTAGGACAAATAGGTTCATTATATTGTACTTTTTTGTATCCGTATTGTTTCTCCAAACCTTTCAATTTTGTTTTATTTAAATGTACTTGTGAACCCAAGGTAGAATTATGCTCAGAATTTTCATGTTTTTCAGAAGCAAAGCTAACACTGTTTAATGTTGAAGAGGGCATGACCTCACTAGGCTGAGTTTCCAATCCTTTCACGTTTGTTTCCTTCATCATTTGTCTCTTTAGACTCCTGCTTGAAATTGGTCCTTTAATCACGTGTGTTTCACTAGTATCTCGTTTAATTTTGTATTTTTCAAAATTGATACTATTCTTAGTTTCTATTCCTCTGTGGCGATCAGTATCTATTTTTGATTTCAGAGTTTTATTAAAAGACTTTTTCTCCAATTTCTTTTTGGCAAGTTTTTTGATAATTATCTTTTTGAAGTCTCTATTTAAATGATACTGTGCTTCACTTTTTGAGATATTCCTTCTACCATTTTTCTGGTTGCGTATTTTATTAGTTCCAACTCTTTCTCTCTGTAGAGACTGGGAATCTGCAGAATGAGACAGTTTTTTACCCCGCTTTTTAGGTTCTTGTGAATTTGAATTTTTCAATGAAGAACGTGGAGTAGTTGCTTGCTCTAATTTGGGTAGTTTATCTTCCTTTACTTGAGGTTCAGTTTCTTTACATCCAAAAGTTTTATTTAAAGCTTTGTTACTCTGATCTCCCAAAAGAAAGATATTATTGCCTGTATCTAATATGGAATTCTGTACTTCATTTTTTAGGCTACAATCAGACTCACTGGATTTTGATCTCTCTTTAGACTGTGAATACAAATCAGTTTTTTCCTTCAAACTTGGTTCTTTAGCTAGCATACATGAACAAGGCTCCACATTATATTTTGAAGCTAACCAACCTGGCAAGCAGCAGTATGTCCGTTCTGGTTTTCCAAGTCTTTCAGACTTGATAACTTTGCTGTCAACATTTAAGTCCTCGTTAGACTTCCTGTAGTGTCCTACATCTTTATGTTTTGAATCCATTCTCATCTGGTCACCTCCGTGGTTATCTAACTTGTTGGAGGATTGTTGCCTGCATTCAGGAAACACTTCACTCATCTGTTGAGAATTTAGGATTACTATTTTAATTTGCTCTACTGCATCACTAGGATCAAGACTTTTCTCATGGCTCATAGTATTTTCTTTATCTTCTCTTTCTGGCAGCATAGTTCTAGAATCTTTGTTTTCTATTTCCTTTACCATATTCAAATAACCAATTCCGTAGGGAAATTCTTTTGAAAGCTCAGTTAGCTGATTGTTCAAAAAGGTTGCAGAGGATTCAGTGCTGCTTCCCAAATGGGCTTCCTTGCCTTCATCCAGGGTATGCTCCAAGTCACCTGCTTTTCTAATACTGGACATGTTGTTTGTCTCACACAGACTCTCCTGATTTTCAAACATCTCGTTATTGGACAAATCTGTATTGCAACCGTAAGATATATCTTGCTCTATTTTTTTTCCTGAAAGTGAAGCAACTTCTAAAAAGTCATTGTTCTTTTGTTTCTCAGAGTTGCTTGCATTTGTTTCCACTGAGGTTTTGTCACACTGAGGGCTTTCTAATGTTTGCAAGTCTTCAGGTTTTCCTGTGAAAGTTTTGGATAAACTTCCTGATGGTAGCAATATGCCGCCTTCCTCTGAAAGACTCATCCCAACTTCAGGGTCATTTTTCAAAAGGCCAGATTCATCCTCGTTGTGTTGTAGAGAAGGCATGTGTTCTCCTGAAGTTTCAAGCTTTATACCAGGTTTCAAAAGGCTAGTACTAAAGATGTCTGCTATTTGCGAATTATAAAATGCATCACCCTGTACAAGAGTACATACACTAGATATTTGCAACATACTGTCTTTCAACCCAACTTCAGCAGTATTGTTGGATTCATCCAAATTTGGAGCATGTTTTTTTGATGTTACACATTTTTGAGATGATGCAGTTAAATCATTAGTGATCAGTTCACATTGATGTTGGACTCCTGAATTGAGGTCATATTCCTTTAATCCAAGCGGCGAGGAATTTGTTTTCTCTTGATTTAAATCGAAAGTGTGATTTGTTCCAACTTCTGCTTTCACTATTTTATTTTTTCCTGTGGATTTATCTGTTCCCTGGTGCACATTTAAATCACAATATTTATAGGAATCTGTAGGTGAGTAAATAGTTCTTTTTTCCTCGTTACTATCTGATTTTGTAGATATCACTTTTTCTAAAGTATGGACAGTGCCTTCTTCAATATCGGTAGCTGGATTAATGATTTCATTATTTTTCTGCACATCATTATTTTTTGATAATATTCGTGGAGTAACAACAGCTACTTGAGGTTCAGAGCCTTTTGGCAAATTGGAATTTACTCCATCAAGGTTTTTTTCAAAAGATGAAGAACCATAAATCTGAGTCCTTTCAACTGTAATTTTAGTGTCGTAATTTTGAGTCAATATATTGGGGAGGTTTTCCAAAATTTTTGCAGGACCCTTGCCATCAATCCCATCACTGGAAGATTCAGTATTTCTATTTAGTAGTTCATTTAAGGATTTTGGGAGGCACTTTCTCCATAAAGCCAGGCTTGTTTTCAGTTCTTCCAAAGTTACTTCTAAACCAGGAGTTCCAGTTACAGCTTCAACTCCTTTGGAGATAGAAGAACTAAACGTATCAGCGATCTTTTCACTATTCGTTTGTTTCTGAAGGCAAGTATTTTCACCATGCTGAATATGACATGCAGGAGTAGAATTACCATGTTCTTCTTTTATTGAATTTTTCATTGAGGAGGATTCCTGAGAAACATCTGAATTCTTAACTAAACTCTGAATGCTATCATTTAAATACTGAACACCACCACTTTCTGAATTTTTATTTTGTTCAGAAGAATTAAGTAAGTCACTATTAGGTACAGTTGATATTTTCTCTAATTGATTATGAGCAGATTTAATGATGTTTGTTCCCTGAGTAGAACCAACAGGAGAGATTTTATAGCTTAATTTAGTAGTTCCATCAGTGTTAACAGGATTTCCAAACGCATCATCATTAGAATCAGTAGATGAATTATCTTGAACAATAAAATGCTTATTTTGGTATTTATCTCCACCTTCAACATCAGCATTAAATAACATATTTTCATCATCAGTACCTTTCAGCAGATTCCACAGAATTGGCAATAAATGATACTTTGTTTTCTGTGGTACAACTGAAGAATTGTGTGAATTAGATGAAAATTGATTTGGAGTGACTTTATCTGAGAGAACTGGTTGGGCAGTACATTCTACTGATGGGTTAGTATTATGAGAAAATAAATTAGGATTTTGATTGTTTACGGATGTATTAGGGGTCTGCCCACTCTGTAGAGAAGATAAATATATTTTTTGTTTTAAATTAAAATTCTCTTTAAGTTTTAATAATGCATTTCTCATTTCATACAAGGCTTGAACATCTAGTGATAAACTCTCTCTGGTTATTTTAACTTTATCCTTAGATAAATTCTCATTACTTATGTTCTTTTCTAGTTGCAAAGTTTGATTTGTCTGTTGCAAAGGTTCAGCGACCTTAACTGTTGTAGTTGTTGGTATACTGTTAGAAAAATTACCTTCAGCTTCAACATATGACTTTACTGATTCATTAGAAAGCTGCATTGTAGTTTTTGGTCCACTTACATTATAGGCAGTGGGGCCTACCACATTTGTTTCTGTACAGGATGACAGAGATTGAGATTTCTGATCAGGCCGAACAGAATATAAATTGCTATTTTGATCAATCAGAGTATTATGATAACTTTCAACTTTTTCGTTAGATAAAATTGCTGTTGGTTGTTGCAGAACAAATTGTCCATGGTTTGCTTGTATGGGAACCATCAAGTCCGATAGTGAAGAGTTTATATTAGTAGCTTGGACTGTATTCCTGTAATTATAATGAGAATAAATTGGATATGGTGGAGGAATTACTTGATCAGAAGCATAAGTTTGTGATTGCATCGTTACTGGAATAGCTGAATTTGGGCACTTCTTTGCTGAACAGTAATCAGGATACTGGACATTTTGCTGAGGAGATAAATAATAATTTGATGCAGAGTTAAGGGACACTCTAGCATCTGCTTGAGAGGTAGCAGGCCCATTCATGTAATAGTAGGGCATCTGTGTTGGGGCCCTTTTTGGAGATGAAGTATTTAGAGGATCTTGCTGATAAACTGAGGTTCCCATAGAATTTGAACAATTTTGTAGTGTCTGATTACTGAAACTGCCCACGGCCATATATGCATTTGTCTTTTGATGCATATTTTGCACAGAATTAACTGTACTTCCCTGTAATGGTAAAGAGGAAGAGATTTGCATATTCCTTGATAAATTTGGATTCTGTACATCAGCTGCCATTTCAACTGTCATGGTGGAAAGTGAAGATGGTGACAATTTGTAAAAATTATTGTTTAGTCCAAAACTTGTTCTAGACACTGCTACTTTAGGAAACACTGGCCTTAAGTTTTTAGAAGCCCTGTTATTTCGAAATTGTCGTTTATTTGTCAACATATACTTCATACTTGATGGAATATTTGTGGTTTGGCTATTTCCAGAATTACAAAAATTCTGCATTAAGACATTTGTTTGGGACGTAATAGAAGCAGCAGAAGGAACTTGGGGCATCAAGAAGGGATCACTTGTTTGCATCTTATTGATTGTCCCTACGTTCCAGTCCATTTTGCTGAAAGTTCTTTTAATTTTCAGGAATCTAAGAGGAGAAAAAAGAAATAATACAATTTCATTTAGGTCCATCAAATGAAACCATGCAGCTCCTTATCAAAATGCTATTTTATAAGCTATTTTCCCCCAGCCCCATATAAATTAAATGAACATTTCTGCTATCATTCTATCCCACATTTAAGTATTTTAAGAATTTCTAAATGCTAGCACTAATATAGGGAAGTTAACAGATCTCAATAGTTTCACATTCCACAACAACGTTCTGATTTTGGCAAAATTAACAGTATATATTCAAAATAGTAGTTTAATCAAATTTAAGCAAGAATGGTCCCCATACATACATCACATAGAATGGTAAATATAGTCACTTAAAGTTTGATTTCTTAGTGAGCCTAACTGTTTACAAATATTGTAAGTTAACAGATGCACAAAAGGGGAAAGCTAGAAGCTTTTTCTTTTGTCTTTTCTTTTAAAAAAATCTATTGGTATCCTAATTGTTGTATAACAAGATTTGTTATCCTATTTATTTATTTATTTATTTAAAACATTTATATAGCCACCCAAATAGCATATTCATTTTTAGTATATACAAACAGATAGGTAAAGAATACAATGGTGATATCCACAAGATCTCTCTCCAAAGCTTGTGAACCAACCAATGCTGAATTAGTGGCTTTATATATTTACCACAAGTCAGAGCATTATCTGATATCACAAGATATTTCCTGTATCCAAATAACAACAGCTTTTGCAATGCTGTATAGCACTCAAGAAAACTATAATTTAGAGAGTTTAACAGAAAATCATAACAAATTTTTGCAACATGTGTTAACCTATTCATAAGGTTATTGGTCTCATCCAAAAACTAGCAATTTATGTTTAGCTATGATATCTGCAATTCATCATTCTTCCTTTCTGTCTATGTCTTGTCCTATTATATGCTTTGGGTTCAATTTTGCTAGCCAAGAACTGAGTCTTGTCCCAAAACTTGGATTAGCTTTTTATTGGGGAAGTGAGCCTTCTCTATCATAACGAACACTTTGATACCACCCACAAAATATTTTTATTGTTATCCATGATTCTGGATGAAGAAGCTAAATACTTCCAGTAATCCTTTACTTACTACCAGTTACTTAGCAACCATTTAAAATTACAATGGACATTCTCAAAAGCTACTTACAGCCTATTTTCAAATTTACAGCCACTGCAGAGTCGCTGTAGTCAATCACCCGTACAACTGAATAATTGACTGCAGGGATGCTGCAAAGGCCTCCCCTGCCTTTCTCCTCTCCTATCCCGCCCTGCTGGGTCTCCACAGGCCTTCAGCCTGCTCCTAATGCATGAAACTCAAGTTACTTGAGAGCGCCTCAAGCCGACTCCAGAGACTACAGTGCGCATTTGCCTGCTGAGAACCAGTTTGGTCTAGTGCAGGGGTCGGCAACCTTAAACACTCAAAGAGCCACAAAGGTCCTAACCGGAAGCCCCCGTTCAATTCTAGAGCCGACCGGAAGTCCAGTTCCCCCACCATAGTCTCTTTAGCACGATGTCCTCTTTCCTCTGCCAACTGGAAGCCAGTTCCCCCACCAGAATCTCCTCCTAGCATGGCATCCTTTTTCCTTTACCTGTCCTAACCGAAAGCCCTATCAATTGTGGAGCCGACCAGCAACAGAGAGCCACAGCAGAGGGATGAAAGAGCCACATGCAGCTCCAGAGCCGGGGATTGCTGACCCCTGGTCTAGTGGTTAAGACCCTAGGTCAGTAAATGGGGGATTATACACCTTAGCCATGAAAGTCAGCTGGGTCAGTCACTCTCTCTCAGCCCTCTCTCACCTCCTGGATCTTTATTGTGGGGAAAAGAGCAGGATCCAATCTGGATCGGTCACCAGGCTCGGAAGTTTAGTTTTCCGAGCTTTCGGTCTTGTACTGGAGCCCATCCTCAGGGAACTTCTCTCTCACCAAAATGTGGTGAGACAAATCTGGTGCCGGTGACTGACCCAGATTGGATCTTGCAACATTATTCTGGGACACACATTTGTAAAAGAGGAGGAAGGCATGCTGGATATTTTCCCAATCTTCAATTATTTATAAAAATAATGAAGGTAGATACAAATAAATACATTTTTTAAAAAAAGCTTAACTACTCAAGAGACCCTCAAGCTGGATGCAGAGGCTACTGACATATGTGAGGCTGTTACAGCTTCCAGGCCTCAGCCTGCTCCCAACCAAGCCACTCAGACAGCTCCAGGGACCACCCACATCCAGCATCTAACTTATCTGTTTTTCTGCTGGTTCCAACAGCCAATGCGAGGCTTTATTTTTAAGCAGACTCCATTTTAAGGAGATTTAGTCCTTAAACAGAAGCTTCCAAAAAATCATGAGAATAGCACGTGTTTGTCAAACAGCATGAAGCTAAAACCTTGGGAGGACTGGGGCAGGCAGGCAGGACCAGGTCTTTCTAGGCCTCTAAAGGCCTTCTCCACCCGAGGCACACTGTGCTCTGCTTAATGACTGACTCGGGGAGAGAACGAGTGGGTGTCATTAAGTGAGGCGATCATATGGGCACTTATGCTTAACAACCATCATAATGTACAGGCTCAATTGTGGTTGTAATTAAAGATCTACCAGTATTAGGATTTTTGATATTTTAAACCATAATTAAGATTGATATTTCTTATATTGAATTTTTGATGGCTTAAACTATTTACACATTAGAGTGCTTACACATTAGGAGTTCAATCAACCTCCTATATATCTACACAAGTTCGTTCAATCCTTGCATTATTTTGGTGTCACGACTATTACAAGTTCAATTTGATTTAGATTCCAGCTTCATTCACAAATTAAATGAAGTCCTTTTTCCTCCCCTTAACTTGCCTGTTCACTTTCTAATTATCCAGCTCTCTGTTCTGAGAGCCAAAATTGGCTCTAGATTCTGCCTCAGCACACTCTTTCCAATAGTCAGCTAAGCGGAAGATCATTTATAACCTTTTATTGCTCTAGCAAAAAGGTTTCTGTCTATGAAAAGAGGGAGCCTCTTGTGACAAAGACTCAAATTTCCCTTTATATTCACTACAGCATAAAAAAGTACAACAGAACAATTGATTGGATGGAAGAAATCATCCTGCCCAGTTATACTGTTAAGTCAGTAGTAGTAAATCTGGCTCAGTGCCAACGAAGAGGCAAAGTCCAAATTCTCTCTGAGTCACATCCTGAGTCAGATCTGGACAAAGATGGGTCCTCCATAAGGCTGGGAAAGACCCTAAATGATTTCTTTAACATGCTTTTATATTGTACTTTGTTACATAAGCAGGAAACACATCTGTCTGTAGGGAAGTAAAAGAAGTTACTAAAATATGTGTGCCCATATCCTATAGTGATAAGTCAGAGCCTTTCTCTATTATCCTTCCCCATAGTTGGAACGTATGTCCTTTATTTCAGTATAGGAATCTTGAACATCACAATCCTGATCAACAACATCAAATACATGGACAGTTAGTTAAACATCGTATAACATTAAGCTTGATGTAAGACACTGATAGTGTTGTTTTTGCAAACAGCAAGTGCCTCTTGAGAGGTGTGTACTTAGAAGTTCAATAGGGCATTGGAACAGGGTCAAGACTGGAAAACAGGAAATGTCTGCGATCCTAAAAAGCAAGTCAGCTTGTAAAAAGAAACTAGATGGCAGTTTTAACCACATAGTATATAAGTTAACCGCTTGTTTCAGTTCCTTATGCTTATGCAGCTAAATCCTAAGAAACAGGAACTGTGGGGTAAGCAAAATTGCAAGCATATGAAGAAACCAGCTTAGGAAAAGCAAAGGTACCATGTTTCCCCGAAAATAAGACAGGGTTTTATATTTTTTGGACCACCAAAAAAAGGCACCAGGTCTTAGTTTCGGGGAGGTATTATATTTTCCCCCATTTTTTCACTGTACCAGGAACAGTGGGGGCAGCGAGCTGCTCTTCCCGCTTAGTGCCTCTATGTCCTCACTAAACAGCTGATCTGCACCGCTTTCACAGCCTGAATGTTCTCCACAAAACAGCTGAGACAAGCCTGCATGTCTTCACTAAATAGCTCCACAAAACAAAATCAGCTGTTTAGCAAAGACACACAGGCTCAGCTCAGCTGTTTTGCGAAGGACATTCAGGCTCCGAAAAGGGCGGCAGCTCTGCTGATCTGAGCCTGGATGTCTTCTCTAAACAGCATTTTCCTGCCAAGCCTCCAGCATTGCAATCCTAGGATACGCTGAAGGCTTTGGGGGGGGGGGAGCCTTACGGTAGAAGCAAAGTGCAGCCTGTCCCTTTCAAGCAATCAAATGTCTGTGTGTGAGAGAGACAGACAGAGTAATGACAGAGGGGAGTAAGAAGAATTGCAGGCAATGCTGTTTGAAAGGGTTTCCTCTCCGCTGTTTCTCTTTCTTTCTCTCTCTCTCTCACATACACAGACTGTTAAGGATATTGTTGTGTTACCAACCAGCAGAGTAAGTGCACAGAGAAACGGTACTGAGAGCAATGAATACAATACATACAAACTGGTTTAACAAAGCTTTTACTTTGTAGTGAAAAACAATTGCATAGTCTTTTAGTCAATCCAAGTCTTTAGCCATTCAAATCAGTCCGAAGTTACAGATATTTTCTTACCATACAAACAGCAGTTGGTAATAAACAGCAATTCAATGCTGGTAACAAATCACGATGGTAGCATATCCATCCACGATGAGAACTCCTTCATACACGATGAGAGTAGTTCCAACCAACAAGTCAAGCAAGAAGTCAAGCAATGATGAGAGCAGGTCAACAATGACTACAGCTCAGCTTCCTTCTTATATACAGTTTACACTAGTAATTATCCACTTAAAATAAGTGAAGTCAGCAGTGCAATGACTCAACAGAACAATTAGGATAATTGCATTCAGCACAGTCAGCAGTCATTAGTCATTACAATGTCTCAGCAGTACAATTACTCAGCATTACATTTAAAGTTATAGAACACATATATTGTTACAGAATACATTTAAAGTTATAGAACACATATATTGCCTGGACAACTTGTTAGACTTACACCATATCCTAACACAGACATTTGTTAAGAAACACTGGAGGGCAGGTAACCAAGTAAGGGGGCTGACCTTCCCCCACCTCCAGCTCGACACCTGCTCAGGGTGGCGCCCCGAGGCCTGGCACCTGCGTGGGCGACCCCCACCCGGCCAATGCGACAAATGGGCTCCCTTGTAGTGCCGCCTCTCCCACGTGAAGCAGCAGCCAGTGCGGGCTCCATCTGTGTGGCCATGAAGCGGGATCAGCATGGCCAGTTCTTGCCCGCAGCGTTGGCAGCCAGGATCAGGTCAGAGCCGCTAGTTGAGATCAGACCGTGAGCTGGAGGCACCGCACACATGCAGCCACCGCCCGGGAAGAGAAGAGTGCACTGGAGCCCAAAGGCTGAGCCTTACCAGCCTCAGAAACCAAGGATCTTGCAGGTATACTGGCCATATAAAGGCCGCCCAAATCCCCAGGTTGTTTGTAATTTGAGCAAGCCGCACAGCCGTCCGCCCCAAACCTTCTACAGTAAGCACATGCATCCCACAATCTTTCAGAATTGCCTGCCTTTTCCTCCTTTTCTCAAGCAGCAGCAGCCGGGTAGAGGCGGGTGGGGGAGCCGATTCCAACGGGCCACATGGCTTTCTGCCTCATGGCTGGAAACATGTCCAGGCACCTGGAGAATGGTGTTTCTTTTGTCAGCTTTTGTTCCCCTGCAAACGATGAAACAGAAGCTCACGAAAGAAAAAGATCTTACCTCTTGCCACGCTGCCGGTGTTGGAATGCCCCACCTTTGGGTCTCTGCTGCGCATGCACACATTCACACACACTTTTCAGTTTGGGCATGCATGTGCACACTGTTTGAGCACTCAGTGCCTAAAAGGTTCGTCATCACTGGACTAGCATATAGCTTATTATTTTAAAGCTACACTACTACATATCCAAAGCACCGCCATGTTTACCCAATGAATGAACTCTGCTAAGCAGTGACATAAAGAGCTTCTGGTTTGAGATATGTACTGGATACTGCATTGTACAGATAAACAAGAGAACTGATAAGGGAATACCAAAGAGGTGAGAAATGAAGACGCTGAGTGCTTAGCAAGTTTTGGTGATAACAAGAGCTTAAATAATTTTAAACATTTAGGTGTGATATTAGATTATAGGCGGACTGTTAGCATGCGACAGACCTGAAGGATGGAAGGAAGGAAGGATGGAAAAGTGGCTGGTGATATGAATATATAAAATATGCTGAGATCTGTAACCAGTGTTGTCTCTCTCTTGCTTGTTCGCTTGGAGATCCACCAGCTTTTGGAAAAGTTCTAATAAAACATTTTGTTATTTCCAACAATTTGAGTGTGAGCTTCATTTCTCATAGGGGGAACTGGACAAAGGGTTGGGAGAAAGATAAACATGGGGAAATTCACAAAGAAGGGGACTAGGCATTCCGTGAAAATTGTGAACTTGTGGTCCTTGTCAAATGGGATTGCAAGGGAGGGACTGGCACTTCGGGCTGAGGGAATAAGTTGCTGGAAACTATTCTTGGGTAGCTACCTGCTCTGGCAAGAAAGTATTTTACAATAAACTGCTTGCTGCTTCACTTAATGACTCTGTTAAATTTCTGTCTGGTGAATGTGTTTCTCACACTTGACCACTTAACTGAACATTGTATTAAAAGTAAAAAGAAAAAAGAAAACATTAGCATGAGAAAAGGCATGATCCGAATCACAGACTCTTGTGAAAAAATACAATTTCACCTAGTTGAAACTTCTAGAAGGTACACTTGAAAGACCCCTTTGTATTAAGCTTGCAAGCGCACAAAAGAAAACCTCTTTTATCTTCTGGTTAGAAAATTATAGACATTTGATTGTCAAGACAAAAAGCTTCTGAGGTCTTGTCTACATTACAAGGTTACGATAAAAGTAAAAGCAAGTAAAAGAAAGCCCCATCTGCTTGGCCTTCAGTTTCCTATCCCAAACTCAATTTGGTTTTACCCCCACACTTTAGAACTATTCTTTTCAATATATTATTCCTTTCCTTCACTTCTTTTATTTACTGACTCCCCAAAGTGTCCAGACCATCTACATCTCTAAAAAAAAACACACCAGCACATGAAACTTAAGTAATTGGTAAACTGCTGATGCATGTTGAACGCATGCAAAGCTTTGGAATTGAGCCTCAAAACTGTTCTAGCTAAGTCTTAGGCAAAACAGACAAGTATTTTGTTTGCATTTTTGCATTTTTTTATAGCATTTTATTAAACATAATATCTGAAGCATCCCCAACATACATGTTCCCTCCTCCCACTTAAACCCAGGAATTAGTATTCGGAAGTAAATTTTTCAAAAAGAAGCACCTCTTTTTCAGAAGTAAAAGTTGAGTTTTTAACAGTATTTAAACTTATGTGAACAGGCAACTCTTTCCTTGTGAATTACTTTTCATATGCTATCCTATGGAATTAAAGAACCATCTGCATTTTTTTTTTCTTTAGTGATATCTCAAGCTTGTCCCAGGCCAGACGTCACGAGACGTGAAAGCTTTCTCATGTATACATTCATGAGACAGTGAGGCCATGTCAACTAGATTGCTCAAATAATTCAAGTGCTATGATACAATGACCATCTAATTACAGTGTGCCAAACATGAAACTGGGGGTGCTGTGACAGCTATTATTTGCTATTCTTATCTCTGAAATCAAGAAACAATACAGTGCTGCGGTGTGGAAGATAAGATTACAAAAGGTAGCAGGCATGGAAATTAAAAACAAGCTGCAAAATTCTATAACCTATGGTTACAGAGCATCATGAGTTCCTAATGTGTTGATCAGGATGGCAATGATCAAGTTTCCTATACTGAAATGGCTGAAATAAAGGATATATATCCAGAGTGTGGGGAAGAATGATAGGGTAACCACAAAGGTTCTTAAAATAAGAACCTTTGTGGTTACCACAAAGTAACTAAAGTAATTAAAATCGGTCAAAATACTTATCGCTCTAGAATGTGGGCACAGATATTTTAGTAATTTCTTTATACTTTCATTCAGACAGCTGTGTTTCCCGCTTATGTAACCAAGTACAGTATAAAAGCATGTTAATATAAATTCAACACAGTATAATAGCACGTTAAAGTAATCATTTGGGGTCTTTCTCAGACTAATGGAAGAACCCAACTTTGTCCAGATCTGAATAAACTTGTGACTGAGAGAGAGCTCTCTGTTTGAGCCGAGTCAGACCTATTATTCCTGACTAATAAATTAGCATTTTATGAGCTTTACTGGTTTTCATGTTTCATTCCATACTTCTTCAATAAAGTACAAAAAATTATAAAACGCCATTTATCAGCATTTATCAAGAGCCGTTGAAGAAATGTATATAGGTACTATAAGCCAGTAGTTCCCAATCCCTGGCCACGGCCCACTACCAGGCCGTGGCCTATTCGGAACCGGGACATGTGAGGGGCAGGTAAGTGCATGTTCAGCATTACTTGCACGAGCGGCAGGCACTGGCACTTATTTATTTATTTATTGGGTCAATTTATGTGCCGCCCTTCTCCGGAGACTCAGGGTGGCTTACAATGTGTTAAGCAATAGCCTTCATACTTTTTTGTACATGCCTGCTTAGTAGGGCTTTCGGCCCCCCCAAGCGGTGTTCTTTTTTATACAAAGTCAGCTTATTGCCCCCACAATCCGGGTCCTCATTTTACCTACCTTGAAAGGATGGAAGGCTGAGTCAACACTTGCAGCCCCACTCGCCCCACCCCACTTGTGTGAGCCCACCGCTCACACGAATGAAGCTGTGCATGCATGCCTGACTATCACGCAAAACCATCCTCTCTCCCTCCACATACCCCGGGCCGCCAACCCAAAAAGGTTGGGGAACAGTACTATAAGTCACAGAGACTTTTTTTCTTTTTACGACCCTTTATTCAAGGTGGAGTCAGGGCGACTGAGTGGAGCTGAGCATTTACTGGCGGGATGTTCTTCCTGACACCTATGCAGAGTTTCTAGCAGATATTTTCTCTTTGCACTCTGACAGAGAAACATCGGCCGCTGCCTAGGATTGAACTCTCAACCCAACCTTCTAAGTGGGAGGCAAGTGTCTTCACTTCTAGGCCACCGCGCCACTCATAAAGCTCATATGAGCCAGAGACTAATGGTCATTATATTTGGATATTAATGTAATACTTACGTTTTTTAAGAATGGGTTTTACTGAATGTTGTTGACTCTTCAGTGTTGTTAATGTCACATGACAATGTTTTCTGAAAAAAAGAAAATACAAAAATTATGGTTCCTAAAATTTGATGAATGCTTCCTCATATTTGGTCAGAGCTACAAAGAAAAAAATTCCAATTTATTATATTAATCTTGATTAAGAATGACTACCTTATCTGAGCTTGAAACCTAAGCAGTCTAGGTTAAAAGACCACAAGGAATTCCATGGATGGATGTAAGCTAGGCTTGAAAGTCAAACCAGAATTTCAGAAATAGACAATAGCAAACCATTTTTCTACATGTGGTCACTAAAAGCTAAAGTCAATTTGAGGGACTGCTTTAGGATTTATTGGTATGTGAAGCCCAGTCTGGCCCAGCAGCCTGGTCAGGCACATCACATCAGCAGTGGGAGCAAGATGATGAAGAAAGTCAGCTGGGATGGTGGGATTCAGAGCAAGCTGTGGCCAAAAGGGCAGAGTTGGGAGGAGACAGCTGAGTGGATAAGTTGAAATACACCTGCAGTCAAAAGTGCAGGTGAGTTGTCAAGCACCCGCATCTTGAACAAATGACCATTATGGTGGATACTACAATGGCTGGAATGGCTGGGACAGGTTGTAAGTCCCTTTGTTCAGCACAGTTGAAGAATCACTAAAAAATGGTTATAAGTCAAGGACTATCTATATAACTTTTACCCAGTTTATTTATCCAATTCAAGAAATTTCCCCACCATTTGGGTTCACCATATTATTTGGGATGGTGTCTTTCTGATGCTGTAAAGTGAAGAAAGCTTAAATAAAGCTTAAGTAAAATTGTAAACAGTTGCAATCACATGATTTTTCACTTGGCGACCATTTTGTTTAATAACCAATCATTGATCCCTATTGTAGTCCTAAAATGGGGGATTAGAGCGCTATCACATTTTCGGCTCACTAGGCGAACTGGTTGTTAAATCATGCGAAGCCCACCTCTGACAATGGTACTTGTCATTAACAAAATATCTCTCTATTCATCATGTAAAACAGCTTGAGGTTGCAATTCTAAGTTTGCTTATACTGGACTAAAATTTACTGAACACCTTTTACTGCAGGTGGTACAAGACAAAAGGCTTTAGTGTTTCTTTTTTTCTTACTGCAGAAATTGTGTTAATTTTGCTCAGATCTAAGTGTACTCCACTTATTATTTTCCCCAAGAATTTCAATTTCCTGTGAAATAAGTTGAAATGGACACAAACTGTATTCCATAGTCCACAGAGCAGAATCTTTGTGCTGTGACCTAGGCTTCCTGAGTCATTAAAACACACGAATAGTCCCAAAAACCTCTTTTATTACAACAGCTGTGAATTACGTTCATTCACAGCTGAGTCCCAATTAGTTGCAAAAAGTCCTTCGGGATAATCACCAACCTTTATCTCCCTTGACACTCTGCCAAAGACCTACTTGGCAAAGCCACACAGATTCCAGAATCAAACAGAGATGCCGACTGGGAACAGAATTAACAACATTGCTTTCCTGCAAAATGCCCACGTGCCTTTGCTCCTCTTTTAAGCCTTATGGGAGGGGCCAATCATCTCCAGGCCTTACTCCCTGAATCGTCCCTTTTGTTTTAACTGTTCATGCCTTCTGGCAGCTGTGCACATACATGCACTAGGAACAGGCTCCTCCTGTTCCTCTCCCTCTCTGCTGTCCAACTCTGGAGGCTCCAGAATCCACACATCATTCCCAGATGGCCCTGGCCCCATCTCTTCCTCTGACGCAGAACCCTCATCTGGGCATCCCCCAGACTCCAGGACTGACCCATGTTCCTCCCCAGTGTCGTGGAGGTTAAATCAATGCACCGTAAAACCTTATCTCTATAACAATCTACTATAACAAATGAGACTTACTAGCAGTTCACAATAAACTGTTTTTATTTACATAATAATAAAAACAATATCTATTCAAATACTAAATAGTATGTCATTCCTTTTCTTAAATATCCTGTCAGATATATATATGTGTGTAATCACTCTATGTGATTATAGTTCTGACTATTCTTCCTCAGAAGAAGGAGTCTTTTAAAACATCAGATCTACCTCTGATCCCTAATCAGAACTCTCCTAACTGCCAATTTACTGATGACTAATTGCCATCAGAACTGCCTTTAAACTGCTTACTGACTGCAGAACTGCCCTTTAGAACTATCCTCTAACTACCATCTAACTGACATTTAGAACTGCAGAGCTGCCCTCTAACTGACAACTAATTGACTACTAACTGACAATAGTTTTCTGTCAGGAATCTCCTTTTATACTGTCCCAGTGACAGTTAGGGGAGGGAATATAAAAGCCAGGGAGTTTCAAACCCTTTAGCCGCTTTCTGATTGGCTTATTTACTTGTCCATTCCAAATGCCATTAATAGGCACAGCAAATGAGAAATAATTTTTCTCTAACAATCCCCTTCTCTGTGTCTATTGATGCCAAGTATACATCTGTCATATACAACATACAATACAAACAGTACATCCTTTACATGACTAAATGTACTTTACTTAAGAGGTATTGGTGTTGTTCCTGGGGTAATGGTTTAATGAGTATATCTGCTATCCGTTCTTTAGTTTCACAAAATATTATCTTAATAAAACCCATTTTAGATAGTTGTCTCACATGCTTGTATTTTATATCAATATGGCGTGACCTTTGCCCCACGGCGCCAGCCTTTGATATGTTAATGGCAGCCATATTATCCTCGTGAATACTTATAGGATACACAGGTTCTTCCCACAGATTCATTAAAAGGTCATCAAACCATACCAAATTGTTTGAAACCTTGGACAGACAGACATATTCTGCCTCAGCAGTAGAAGTGGCAATCAACTTCTGTTTCCCTGAATACCAGTGGATAGGGCTTCCATTTAGTAATACAACATACCCTGAAGTACTCTTCCTGGACTTGATGTCCCCTGCCCAATCAGCATCTGTATAACAACATAAATTTGGTCTGTCTGATATATTCAGTTCTAATAGAAGTGAGTAATTTGCAGAACTCTTCAGATATCTGAGAACCCTTTTGATCCCATTCCAATGAAATTGAGTGGGGTTTTCAGAATGCCTGGACAATACATTTACAGCTAGACTAATATCTGGCCTTGTCCATCCCGCAATGTACAATAGTGATCCTATTACGGATTTGTAGAATGTCTTCTGTTCAAACTCTGCACTTTCAACATACATGTTTTTGAGAAAGTCCATTTGCATGGGAGTGTCACAGGGCTTGGCCTCTGCCATGCTGCATCTTCCAATTAATTCTAAAATTTTATCCCGCTGAGAAAGCTCAAACCTCTTCTCAGTCTTAACAAATCGAACCCCCAAAAATTTGTCAATTCGTCCTAGAGGCTTTAGGGCAAAATTCTGGCCTAATTCTTCAGAGAATATTTTACATCTGCTCTCTGATTTACATACGTACAAAATGTCGTTTACATAAACCAAAAACGGTTTTTTTGGTGCCCTGGTAACTTCTGATGAATGCATATTCATCAGCTGATGATGCAGAAAAACCCATCTGCCTTAGACGTTTGGTAAGACATTCATACCACCTCCTGCCCGATTGCTTGAGACCATAGAGGCTTTTATTTAAGAGCCAAACATTACCTTCCTTATGATCTACACCCTGAGCAGCTTTGACATATAATTCTTTGTCTAATTTAGCGTGTAAATACAGTTTGTATATCAAACTGGTATACACTCTCCCCTTTTATGGCAGCTATGGTGAGCGCAGTCTTAACGCTCTCAGGACGTACTGTAGGCGAGAAGGTATCAATGTAGTCATCAGGGAATCTCTGTGAGAAACCCTGTGCAACCAACCTTGCCTTATAAATAAATTTGCCCTTTTCAACTGGCTTCTTCTTGAAGACCCATCTAGTGCCAATTACCTTTTTACCTTTTGGTAATTTTGTGGGTGTGAATACTTCTAATTTCTTTAGACTTTCCAATTCTATATCCATTGCAGTATGCCAATTCTCCTGCTCTTTTTTAGGCAGCTTTAACACATCCTCATATCTTTGAGGTGATACTGATATTTGATTAACAGAGGTAACATAATTTTCGTATCTCTTGGGTTTCTTTCCCCTAGTTAATCGAATTGGCTTTTTAATTGCTTCCTCATCTGTATCATATCTATTTGATGAGCTGTCCTCCTCATCACTGCTCTTCTGAATTTTTAAAGTGGAGTGCCCCTTCTTCCATGCTACTCCCTTCTTTTTCTTTAGTATTCCTTTTAAAGGTCTGGAGGGCATGCACTCTCCCTCATCCTTAGATCCAGATGTGTCACCATCACTAGATGGATTTTCTGACACATCTTTTACCTGTTTGTCCAAATTACGATTAAGACTGGGAGTCAGGATCTCGTTGGCATGAATCCTGCTCCAATTTGTACTCTCATGAAAAGTAGCTGACCTTGATATTACAATTTTTCCGTTTGAGTCCACAAACCTAAAAGCTTTAGATCCAGATTCGTATCCAATGAACCTTAATTTAATTGATATCTTATCCCCCTTCTTTCTTAGTTCCTTGGGGATGTGTACATCTGCCATTACTCCAAATACATGGAGATGTGTTAATTTTGGCTTATGGCCATACACTACCTCATATGGGGTCTTCTGCACCACACTGGACCATACCGGGTTGAGAGTGTAGTTTGCATACAAAGCAGCTTCTGCCCAATATGAGAAATCTAAATCAGCATCCTCAAGGGTGCACCTCGTCATTTGCTACAATACACCATTTCTCCTCTCCGTCACTCCGTTTTGAAAAGCGGAGTAAGGAGCGGTATGCAAATGTACTATGCCCTTCTCTTTCAGCCAATCAGAGAACTGAGCTGAGTTGAACTCAGTTCCTCTGTCAGTCAAGATCTTCTGGATGTTGACCTTGTGCTGATTTTCAACCAGGTTGCAGAACTCCTTAAATTTGGATAAGGCCTGATTCTTGGATTTGAGGGGATAGACAAATCCGAACCTATGATCATCAACAATGGTCAAGAAGTAATGATTCTTACCAATGGAGGGTTTCAAAGGACCCACCAAGTCCATGTGCACCAACTGGAATATGTGCTCAGAGTGCTTCTCAGATTTCCTGGGTGTTGGCTTCACTTTGGATTTTGCACTCCTGCAAATGGAACAATCCCAAAAAATATTACAGTCTTTAATTCTTATCCCCTTGGAGCACTCAGGCGCTTTCTGCACCACAGGGAAACTCATATGACCCATCCTGCGATGCATGAGGTGAGCACACTCATCATGGAGTGGTTTGCCAATAGAAATTGCATTGGCATCCTCGGACCTTTCATTGCCTTGCTCCAGATTGAATCCCACACACTTTTTACATTTTGAATCATATTTACAATTGTAATTACAACTCCTCTTTCCTTGTGGACCCTCAGTCTCTATCACAGTAGCAAAATTATTGTTAAAGTTGAATTTGTCCTTTTTGTCATCTTTCTTTGGCCATCTGCCCCTTCTCTGGATTGCAGGATTAGTTTGTGGCTTTCTATGTGGGGTAGGTGATCCCCTTCTGTACCTGTCACCAGAAGGTGCCCTTTGACGTGCCCTGGCGTTGGCATTACGCGGGCAGTCTCTTTTGTAATGGTCCCTGGACCCACAGTTTAAACACTCCCCAACAGTGTTTACCCTTTCAGGGCTATTAGATCTCCTTGTTGGTCTTTCCTTCCTGTGGAAGACCACCCTGTCCTTCCTCAGGTTGTCCTCTGCAGAAGGCCTTGGGCCTGCCTCTGGGACCTCAGCCTCGGCTGGAGTAGTCCCGGAAATGGCCCCGAAGACTGGAGACGCCACAGGAGAGTCCACCATCATGGAAGTAGGTAAGGAGCAGGCCGCAGTCATTGGAAGGGTGTCTGTGTGGGCCGCTGTCACACGGTAGGTGTGAGGGAGCTGGAAGGTGGCCCCGAAAGCCTCTGTCAGTATTTTGACTGCATTTTCTATCTCAAACTCGGTAGGCGAGCTTCTTGTTTTTGTTGCTTGGGCCACTGCGACCAGACTGGTCGCCTGGGCGTGGGCCCATTCGGCCAGTGCTGGTGTCATGCTCGGCACGGCTGGGACCAGCAGTGCCACTGCTGCCAGCGGAGCTAGCTCTTCAGCTGGCTGGTCGCTTTGGGCCACCGCAGCATTATATGCTGCCAAGTGGGTGGCTTCGATGCCAGTGCCCACTTGCAATTGTGGGTTGCTGGTATCTGACATATTGACAGGTGGCGCCATTTTTGTAATTTGGAGTAGACCATTGAGATCTGCAACCAGGTCTTCGCTTGCTGTCTGCAAGCTGAATGCTTGGAGTATTGCAGACCTCATCTCGTCCCTTTCTGCAGAATTCATATTCGAGGTTAGAAGGGTGTCCTTCCTGTCTTGGCTTCTGTAGGTTGAGGGCTGTCATTCGTGGCTGCGAGAACCTCTAGAACCGGTATATTCGCCTTGGTACCTGTCATATCTCTGGCTTCAGTTGCTATTGAAGCATGTGGCACTTCAGCTGAAGTCGCCTGGCCCCAGGTTCAGTTAGTTGGCGTTGGGGTGCCATGCACCTGGTGAAGGCTCGGGTTGCTATCTTTGTCTTTCTCATCGATTTGAGATTTGGCATTTTTGTTTAGTAGATTGTGATAAGGTTTGGTCTGCTATCAATTGCCGTGGAGGTTAAATCAATGCACCGTAAAACCTTATCTCTATAGCAATCTACTATAACAAATGAGACTTACTAGCAGTTCACAATAAACTGTTTTTATTTACATAATAATAAAAACAATATCTATTCAAATACTGAATAGTATGTCATTCCTTTTCTTAAATATCCTGTCAGATATATATATATATATGTAATCACTCTATGTGATTATAGTTCTGGCTATTCTTCCTCAGAAGGAGTCTTTTAAAACATCAGATCTACCTCTGATCCCTAATCAGAACTCTCCTAACTGCCAATTTACTGATGACTAACTGCCATCAGAACTGCCTTTAAACTGCTTACTGACTGCAGAACTGCCCTTTAGAACTGCCCTCTAACTACCATCTAACTGACATTTAGAACTGCAGAGCTGCCCTCTAACTGACAACTAATTAACTACTAACTGACAATAGTTTTCTGTCAGGAATCTCCTTTTATACTGTCCTAGTGACAGTTAGGGGAGGGAATATAAAAGCCAGGGAGTTTCAAACCCATTAGCCGCTTTCTGATTGGCTTATTTACTTGTCCATTCCAAATGCCATTAATAGGCACAGCAAATGAGAACTAACTTTTCTCTAACACCCAGCCTCCTCACTGTCTGACTCCACTGCCAGCTCCGCAGGCTGCTGGCGGACCACAACACTTTGCTTTTGATGTACGACTTTACACATTCTTGTAAAGAATAATGGCAATGGCATGGACATTATTGATGACCCTTAGAAATTAAGACATTGAATTTGAGTGATCTCTCAAGCAGTTAATATTACAGGTGTCTTCAGTCTCATAATCTATCACTCAATCTATTTGAAGACAGAACAGTATTCACTCAGGTGTTTTGTGTTCATTGCAGCATGGACACAACATGGACATGGACAACAGAAAGAAAAGCAGAGTTATATGAGAAAGAAAGGAAGGTAACAGCCAAACATGGCAATGTTAAGGCTACAGTACCACCTCCAAAGAGCTTCATGTTCCTGTAACCACAGTTATTAACATTATCAAGAATCTCAAGGTTCATGGAACTGTAGCCAACAACTATGGACATGGTTACAAAGAGACTCTATCCTAGTTTGAACAGAAGGATAATTCAAATTATAGAGAAAGGACCAAGAAAATTGGCTGACCACCCCAAGATCAAGATACAACACAATATCAACTTACACCATCCTTGCTGATGCATTATCCAACTGAAAGAGGCCTTCACGATAGAAGACCTAAGAACACTCTACTTCTGAAATACAGATATAAAAATCCAGACTGGAGTTTGTAAAACACATGCTGCATACCATTTTCACTTGTTTTATTATTTACAAGAATATGGTTTGTCATACATCAAAAGCAAAATGTCTATGGAATAAAGGATGATGGATACCATTCACTTCTGTCCATGTCAACTTATTTTTTGGGGAATGTGTGGAGGTGGTACCAATAAGTTTGGCAATCTCTATATTGAAGTGAAATACACTTACAGCTTGCTGGATCAAAGTTATCAATAACCATCTTTATACGACGCACATGCTAGGTCAATGGACATTTTATATTATGCTTTAAATGTCAGGCTAAAAATGTCCATGAATATAGTTATAAAAAAGGCAACTGAACCATATTTATAGTCCTGTCGTAAGCTGGAGCCACTCCAAGGTATTAGAGATTTGCTTTCCAATTGCATCTAGATTTCTTGGTTACTTTCTCCAGTTTCTGCTAAAAATGCTTGATGCACTTTGACACATCCTTGCGTCCATATTAGACTGACAATCCCCTTGTATGTCAGTGTGGCTTGCAGCAGAATTTCCTAGTGAAAAGTGATCATCATCTCATATTTTCTAAGCAAGATGAAAATCTTAAGTTTGATTGCCTACTGCTCTGTGAGATTTGAATTTCTCAAGCTGAATCAACAGGAGACACGATGAACAATACAAGAGCCTTTATTGAAGCTTTTGCAAAAGCTGGCCCTCTGTGCTAGTCTAGGTAGCTGACCGAAGGGCAATGAGACAAAGGAATACAGGCCTTTAAATACACTTTCCAAGACCATGCCCCCATAACTGCCCCTTTTTGGGTTCACAATCTTATTATTCTCTTAAATGGTTATATGACTATATCCCCCTACACAATCATTGCTACATCCTTAACAACAGTTGCCATATTTTAACAATAAATTATTAACAGGACATCTGGTGTCATGAGAGTTGACTTCCTGGCAATTAGCTTTTTGCCCCAGATTTTGCTTTTAACAAATAATGTCCTTGTCATAATAGATTGATAATTTTGCTAAATCAAATTCTTGCTTAATATTCCCAAATGGATTCTGAGGTTACACAGAGGATAAGCATGGCGTAACGATTGCTCTTTACTTTTACAGAAATAATTCTTATTTCTCTCATGCTCCTTTAAGACTACTTGGCCACATCTTTTAACCTTTTTGTTATATGACATTTTCTGTTAATTCTGAAATGTCAAGTCTTTTGTAAATACAATTTGAAGCTGTTCACGAATAAGCATTGTTTTGCAAGATATTGTGACATTCTTGTGGTTTGGGACATTTTATAAAGGCCCATTCTGATGTGATAGTTTCATGGCTGAGGAATAATGCAGCATTAGCAGCCTACCTATCGTATTTTTCAGAGTATAAGACTCACCTTTTTACCCCCTAAAAGAGGGTGAAAAACTGAGTGCGTCTTATAGTCCGAATGTAGCCCCACCCACCCACTGGCTTCCACCCTTTGGAGGTTGTTGGCCTCTGCGTGTCGCATTTTCTGGTGGTTTCAGGTGACGGGGATCCTCACATTGCCAAAAATGAGCATCGCATTTTCTGTTTCCGCATGCTGGGAGATGGGAGGCGGAAATGGTTAGGGTGACGCTTGGAACTGGCTGAAAACTACTGCCGCCACGTTTTCTTTTTTCTTTGCAAAAAGTTTTTTTTTTATTTTTTCCAAACATACAAATTACATCTTTTCGGAACAGAGCTTTGATCCGGTCATCAATTTGTTCAATTCAATCTCACTTCTTTCCCCCCCCCTCCTTTTTCTTCCTCTTTTATTTGTACATCACTTCTTTTTTAAAGCTTATTATCCATTCTCTATTTTTTTTTTAAATTTAAAAAGAGAGAAAAAAAAAAGGATCTCTTTATTTTTTTCCAACCCTTTGACCATTCTCAAATTTTTTAAGGTTTCCAAATAGTTTGCTTAAAAATCTATTTTCTGTCGGGTATTTGTCTCTTTAAAGTTACGTTTCAAAGAAAACATGATGCATGGAGGCAATGCTCTTGCAAAGCGGGCGCTTCTGTGCGAGATGTGTAAGGCAAGGTGGCTCGCTGCCTGGCCTGCCCCTTTTCCAAACAACCCAGGCTGAGGGCAGTCAGCTTCTCCTTCTGGCCCGGGAAACAGATCTGGCCAGGAGGAAAAAGAAAATGAGACTGCGGAAAAGGAGGAGGAGGGCATGCGGCTCTACGAATTGCTTTGGGGAATTGGGGAGAAAAACACCGGAAAACGCAATGCATGGAGGCAATGCTTTTTCCTCCCCGATTCCCCAAAGCAATTCACAGAGCCGCACGCCCTCCTCATTTTCCGCAGTCTCCTGCAGTTCCAAAATCCGAATGGAAGTGAGGACGCCGCTGATCCTGATGCTGGTAGGCAGAGGCAGAATTCTTGTTTTCTTCCCCCAAAATTAAGGTGCGTCTTATACTCTGGTGTGTCTTATACTCCGAAAAATACGGTATTTTTCTCTAAGAAGACTGTCCCAGGTAACCCTATTTCACAGAGTCTATGAAGTCCCTTAATAATTTCTGATTTGCTGACTAGCCCCAGGACATCATAAATAGAGCATTGTTCTTCAATATATTACACAACAGTACGTTTCTCTAATGAGGCTTGTTTTCTTCTATTCCCACAGTCTAGAACATGAAACACAAGTATTTGAAAAAAGGAAACAAGGCAAATGAAAGAGAAAATATTAAATAAATGATCCTTGTCCTGTTTGGTAACTTGAGTCTGCTCTCTGAGGGGCTGCATATTATGCAATTGCTTAAGTTGCTAAAAATGTAAGAATCTAGCAAGGAACATTAGAAACTGCCACATGGAAAAGGAAGTGAGAGTCTGGGAAACTGCTGAATTAGCAATTTCTAGGCTAATTCTGCCGACTGCCAGCAGTTCAATTCTCACTGGCTCAAGGTTAACTCAGCCTTCCATCCTTTCGAGGTCACCCCATATTGTTGGGGGCAATGTGCTGACTCTGCTTAGAAAGGGTTATAAAGCACTATGAAGCTGTATATAAGTCTAAGTGCTATTGCTATAAACGATCTAACAGGGCAGGGTTGCTTCAATTGCCTGAAGATGAAAACCTATCATAAAAGCCATAAAAATCTCTGTCTACATATCTTACATTATCCTTCTGCATAGTATTTCAATAAAATTTAACTCACAGCTATGATTATGGCCTCCCATTCACTAAAAGGGTGTCGGGAATTTTCCCCAGCAAAGACAATTTGGCTGCCACATTCTGTAGCAACTTCAGCTTCTAGACCAAGCACGCAAAGAACTTTGGATCTCTAGAAATAATAGCACAACTGCATGGACATTGTTATCAGACTAAAGTCCACTGCAGTAGTGAAGCTACTGCAACAGGTGCTACTTTACAGAGTTTATCCAGAAGAATACCAGTCGATTATATCAAAAATTGCTGATGAATAAGATCAATAGAGATGCAGTCTCCTTTCTTTCCTAAAAGAGAGCATCCATCTGGGGGCTCAGTAAAAGACAGATCCAACAGGAAAAAGTTAGAGCCACCTTCTCCAATTAGAAGGCAGGATTTATAAATCTTTCTGCCCTGTGACAGAAACTATCCCTTTCAGTTATGGTCAATTCAGCTTACTCATTACAGTACTGAATAATTCACCAAAATAACAAAGGTTGTTTTAGTCAAGAAAACAGGAAAAATGGAAGAACCATGCATAATAGCAAACAGAGTAAGGCAGTTTACAGTGATCCCTTAGTTGCTTGAACTGACTCTAAGTTTTTCCCCCTTCAAAAGAGTGTCACTGTTTGTAAGTAAAAAAAGTATTTATATGGTAAATTATCAGTCCCCAGGGATGGAACTGACAGTAGAAGTATATTTTGGCAATATTCCCAAAGAGGATTAGTAATATTGTAAGTACATTTGGCAGTACCATGTAGCCCAAGTAATGTTTGCAAAGGGACAACTTTCTCTTTATCCAAGTAGATAATTCTGCCCGAATCATTATTCTACTAGTAAAACCCTGCTGTTAATTAAAATGAGCTGTTGGGGTGGTAATGGTGGAGTATTGCTAATTGAGCATGCCAAAGCAATGCATTTGCTAATTAACAGCTCTTATAAGTCTTCTCTGTTTTCCTGTTTTATAGCAGACAAATGGGCTATCAAACCCTCACCTTCTGCACCATTCCTAATGTTCTTACCAGCCTGGCCGCCTCTAACCTTTGCCAGGTACATTCTCTAGGATGGGAAGGATCTGGGCAGAAATTGGGAAAATTCTTGCAATACCCTCTTGTCTGATACAGAATTTAGAATAGACCTTGGTCAAAAACAAGGATCTACTCTTAATATCACTTGCCTTGGCATATGCATAGATTCCCTCTGACAGAAAGAAATTGTGAGAATTTTCCAATCCTTTCAGCAGAGGTTAGGACTATCAAAAAGAAGAAAGGAGTAACAGCTGTCCCAGGATGAAAGATTTGTGTTCCTGAGATGGCCCAAGTGAAGAGCGATCAGTCAGAAAAACCCCTTACCTGCTTAGGAGAACAGAGCCCAAAGCAATTACTTGTCCAAATATTATTCTTTCTGTTAGTCCCCTCTCCAAACAAGCAGATTTCGTCTTTTAAGCCACCATTAAATTTCGTGTCTTGAATATTTTCACCTTGCAAAATACTTTGAATAATGTTGGTATTCACCAAAAACACAGAGCAGAACCTCTCACAACAGTAACATGGGATATCAATCCCCTTTGCTCCGTTGTCTTTAGATGTGGAGAAAATATATCTCACTTGCCTACTGCAATGAACAGGTAGATCAAATCAGGTCCCCATCTTGTTGAGATCTCATGAAAAATCCCAGGTAGAGGCCCTATTCTCAGTAAGACAAGCACCGTCTCCTCTCCAGGAGACAAAGTGCCTTCAGGACTAGCTGTAATGTCCCTAGGTTTACCTCATTAATAATCTGTGTCATCATTTCGATAGGAACAAAATCCTTGCATCAAATCATTGAGTGTGTGGGCTGTCCATCACATTAGATTTTAGCCAATCTGTTCAGCAATCGGTGCAGTATTCTCCATGGCAAGCATATGGAATTAGCCACCACTTCTGGAATTCTCCAACAATATACATATTTGAAATCATCTTCACTTGTTCAAGGAAGCTATCGAGCAGCCAATAGGTGATACACCACAGTAACTCCAGTCTTTCTTATTCAGCTAGTAAAGCAACTCCTTACCTGCCTTAGTTCCAACAGATTTTCTGGTGACCAAGGTGAACTTCCTATGGATAACAGCAACTCTCCCTCCAATCTTCCAGCCTTGGGATCACACTGCACTGAAAATCATATACACAGTAGTCTTAAACACATTTGAGAAAGGTAAAAATCATTCAGGGAAATATGCAATTTTTATCAAGATGGCTGTAAAGCTCTACCCATTTGCGGTGACATTATCTGAGGAAACACCTTTTCCTCCGTGTTTCCACCCCAGTCCTAAAGAATAGAAATGCTGACTAGAATTTTCCATGCTGAGGAACAGCTGGTGGAACAGGATTTCTCCATGGAGGCTGCCTCTAGTTATGAAATATCCATCCCAAAGATGTTAAATATTATATGTTATGAATATGTTACAAATATGATCTATGTTATATATTAAAAGTAGCTGGACGCCGGTGCTTCACTATGTGATTGGGCAAGATAAATTGACACTTAAAGCCTGAAACTTAATGTAGAATGTGTAACTCCGTAGCATCAGAGCGTGTTAATATAAGGCAACTGGCAGTTGGAACAGAGGGGGAGTGGAAGTAGAATGTCCCAGCCCACAGGCCGGATGAGTCACGCACTGGCCATGCCCACGCCCGGTTTAGCGAAGGGGTAGCATCAGAGCATGTTAATATAAGGCAACTAGCAGTTGGGACAGAGTTCCTTTCAGGTGGGGAGGGGGTGTAGAACATCTAACTCCTTAGCATCAGACCATGTGAATATAATACTATATATGAAATACTAATGATTTAATGTTCATTTTGAAAAACCCTTTCTTAGCAAGCACCTAGAAGCCAAGAGGAACATATGGGCCAAATTTCAAGTTTGTAGGCTTTACAGTTCTGGAGATTTTGTGATGAGTGAGTGGTATTTGGCTTTTATATATATAGATAAATATATTGGGCTTGTAGTCTAGCCATATTTATTCTTTGCATGAATCCACTGGGAACCTTACATTGCTGGAATGTGTGCAATACTGATGATAACAAAAGGTCCTGAATGTGCATATGAGTAATTTATCATTGATGATAACAGCTGGAACATTAGTGGGTGCAAGCAATGCAATGGATTGCATTTTTCATGGGGTCATAGAACAGAGTAAACATGTGAAGTTCCTGATGTGACACATGAATTTTAGAGTAAACAAGTTGGGTATAAACAGAAGACTGGAATGAACCCAGACCTCCGAAGTGCAAGATGACACCCTGAGTCTGCTTCCCAGCCCATTCTGGTCACCTGTGTTGAGATTGTATTTGAGTATTGTGTGAATGTGTAGCCTAGTTGGGCAGCAATACTTACAGCAACTTGAGTACTATTCTGGGAGGTGCATTAGAAGAATTATTGTTTAAAAATGTTGCACACACCTGACAAGTTATTATTGTATGGAAAACAGGAGGACCGGTACTATGTATGCTGGCTTGAATTTCTGAACCCAAAGTAAGATATAAATCTAACAAACAGGTTGAGAAATGAAACAAATTAAAACAGATTATATAAACAATTCCAGGGTACTGTTAAAATCCAACAGGTGTGGGTCTCCCTACAGCATTCTAAGATGAAATACAAACTATATATCCTAAGATAGTAGTCCAACAAATATTAAATCATCTGATTTTATATTCAATAGTTCTGGTGGAGGTTTTATTGTTTTTAAGCCTCTAAAAATAAATTATTTATCAGAAAGGGAGGAACAAAACAAATCCTGTAGTAATATGTTAAACTTAACCTGAAAATTATAGTAAAGTAGGACGTAAAGTGAAATTTGGATATAAGAGTGAAATGATACGGGGTTGGCTTGGATGATCTCTAAGGGTCCCTTGATTTGTTATTGTAAGAGACAGTTGCTGAGTTCAAAAAGTCAAACCGCAGAGTTAGCTAACTTTCTCTTTCCATGTCAAAATGCAGAACTAAAAACCACATGGATCAGCGTGAATCAGCTTTTCTGCCTAAGCAACAAGGGACCTAGACATTAGGACTGATTTCACATATTTCCTGTTTTTGCCACTTTAGAAGACTATAAGAACGCGTGTCTTAAACAGAACGTTGTTCAGATGTTAGATGATTATTTTATCTGTCTGAACCATTTTGGCCAAAATAAAGCTTCTTTTGACTTCAAAATCCGACTCCTTTAATTTTCTGCAACAATAGGACAGTTTGTATACAGTAAAGAAGATTACTAGTATTCAATAGTTTTAACATTAGTTCATATAAAAGCAGGAACTAAAGAAACTTCTGACATATCATGTACAGCATCTAGTTGAACATATATATATATGAGACTTCGTCGAAACGAATGATACTTCGTCGAAACGTTGCCAAGACACCTCCAATTTTATGCGGGAGAAAACCCGAATAACCAAAGACCTACATATATATATGTGTGTGTGTGTGTGTTTGTGTGTGTGTGTGTGTGTGTGTGTTTCCTCTAGCCAGGTTTTTCCTACGTAACCAAGGTTTTTCTGCAGCCCAAGCTCAGTAGAATCACATCCATTCGATTCTGGGCTTTTTTCTTCTTTTTGGCAGCCAGCAAGTTCTTGCTGCCAGGTGAGAGACTTATATAGATCTATTTCTGGCTCGTTAGCTATCATCAGTAAGCCACACCCACATCTCATGTATTCTCCCTGTAAAGGTACAATATCTATTTTCTTACCTTGGTTTCGTAGGAAAAACCTGGCTAGAGGAAAAACACACATAAATCCTACGAAGAAGTAAGAAAATAGATATTGTACCTTTACAGGGAGGATACATGAGATGTGGGTGTGGCTTACTGATGATGGCTAACGAGCTAGAAATAGATCTATATAAGTCTCTCACCTGGCAGCAAGAACTTGCTGGCTGCCAGAAAGAAAAAAGCCCAGAATCGAGTGGATGTGATTCTACTGAGCTAGGGCTGCAGCAAAACCTTGGTTACGTAGGAAAAACCTCTTGGCTTCTAGGTGCTCACTAAGAAAGGATTTTTCGAAATGACCATCAGAGCATTAGTATTTCCTATATTATTATTAACACACTCTGATGCTAAGGAGTTCTACTCCCACTCCCCACCTGAAAAGAAATCTGTTCCAAATGCAAAACACAAGCAGAGGAGTTTCAGTTTTACTTTTACAGCAGGAAGCAGCTTTACTACAGAACGCTTCAGCTAAGCCATGCCCAGCCTCCTTCCTGTCTCCTTCTTGCTCACAAAGCAAATACTGCTTGACTTTCCAAACACCCCTCAACTCTCTCACACACTGACAGGATGCTAGCCAGATGAATAACGATGGATGCTGCAGGCTGGGACATTCTACTGCCCCTTCCCCTCCCCCTCTGCTCCAACTGCCAGTTGCATTATATTAACACACCCTGATGCTACGGAGTTACACATTCTACATTAAGTTTCAGGCTGTAAGTGTCAATTTATCAAGCCCGAGCACAGTTTCGTAGCGAAGCACGGACGTCCAGCTAGTAATTTAATATAAACTGAGAAAATGAAATTGGTTCTAAGCATATAACCCTCAGCATTCCTATAAACGGAGGAACAATTATAATTAGCAGCTGAAGGCTGCAATCATAACATACCATAGGGAGTAAGTCCCAGTGAAGTCAGTTGGACTGACTTTCAAGAAAACATGCAGAAGTCTGTGCTGCACACCTAAAATTTTAAAACATATTTACTTGAAAGTAACTCCCATTAAAAGCAGCAAAGCATATTTTAAAACACTGATGCAAAAGACTGGGACAAAATATTCAAAGTATACAAATTTATTATCTAAATATGGCTTCAGCTCCCTAGCACACACTAATTCAAAAATTTCAGGATCAATTGTATGATTTGATTTTTTTAAAAAATGAATTTCACTTGTTCCTACTATGTTTCCTGCATATTTGACTAACGGTGATTCAAAAGGAAATTTGCTATGGAGCACAAAGACCAAATGAAACAATGAAAGCCTTCTAAAAATGCACGTTTGTAATGTATCTAAAATAACAGGTACAGTACAGTACAGGCTGTTATGGCCTTGCTTTCAAATCGTGTTTATTGTTAGGAGGAAACAAGGTTTTAGTAAGATGATAGAGGAGTCACATCTGTGAAAGAGGGACAGTATCAGGTCTCCAGAGAAACATATCAGCAATAATTCAACATCACCTGGGACATTTTTTATGCTAAGTGTTTTCAGGAAGTATACTTCCTGAGAATGCTCAGAAAGATAAATCTATCTCAGCATCTACTTCTGTCCTACTATCGCAGCACCATTGAGAGTGTCCTGACATATGGCATCCTTGCACAGTATGGGAGCAGCTCTGTAGCGGGCAAAAAAGCTCTATAGAGAATCATTAAAACTGCCCAGAATATCATCGGGCTCCAGCTACCAGCCCTGGATGACATCTTTGAATCTCACTGTTTGAGGAAGTTGCATAACATTCTCAGAGACTCTTCCCGTCCTGCTTACAATCTTTTTGGACTGTTGCCTTCTGGCAGAAGATACAGAACAATTAAAACTCGGACCACACGTTTTCTGAATAGTTTTTATCCCAGAGCTATAATTGCACTCAACAATGAACTAAAGGGCCACTGTCAGTGAGCTATTGGACAGCATTACTTGGTCTGTTGTGTGGATGTTTGGGTGGTTATGGATTAGCACAAAAAATAGAAGCTATGTTCAGCTTTAAGGCTTTTTCAAATTGGTGGGTGCTTTTTTTTTTCAGGCCCGCACCTCCCATCAACCACAGGCAGCACAAACATTTTATGTGCACCTGGAGGACACCAGTTGGGTAGGTTGCTATAGACCCATAAAGGAAAATAAGAAAATGTCAAGGGCAAGAAAAACCACAGCTACAATTATTTCTACACCAATCATCACTGCTGGACTACCATGAAGACAGGAAAAGATAGAACCAGATCAAATTGTTAAATAAGATTCAACATTTATTTTTCTAGCACAGTGCGTTATATCAGGTAACTAGATCTGGCTGCAAATATCTGGACCATGATAGGTCTACAGGTTATTGCCAATAGTCAACAATTTCCTTAGTAAACTTCAAGCAGTGGCTGAATAAATCTGAAAGTTTGCTTATTATGATATGGTTGTGATGAAACTAATTACAAGGGTGGACAACCCAATAAAATAATTATTTCCCTAGAAAATTATAGTTCCACAGATCTGGATAGCCAAAAAACTCATAAATATCCAACAATCAAAGATTATTTTTTACTGAGGACACTGAATTATCTCACAGTCCATATCTACTGTAATTTAAGATAAGAGTCTAGAGTGATTCCTGCAATTTCTGCAAAGCATTAGCAATGCAGACACTAGAGGTTCAGTGTAACTTTTTATCAAGCTTTGATAAAGGATGCATGCACTACTATATCACATCAGTAACATCTATAGAGGAGGGGCATATTAAAATTTACAAGATGGTGGGCACAATGATTGAAGCCTTACCCTTTTTGTACATGAACTGATGTTGCACATGTGTACAAAGCTGGCAGTGCTTCTACCATACCATGTTATCCATCACCTTGTATAGTTTTGACTCCCTGAGGAAACACACTTTTTCTCTTTCTACATTCACTGGATCAAAAAAAGTTATGAGCCTTGGTGGCGCAGCAGACTAAAGTGCTGTTAAGTAACACCAGCTGCCTGCAATTACTGCAAGTTCAAATCTCACCAGGCTCAAGGTTGACTCAGCCTTCCATCCTTGCGAGGTAGGTAAAATGAGGACCCGGTTTGTGGGGGCAATAAGCTGACTTTGTATAAAAAAGAACACCGCTGGGGGGGGGCAAAGCCCTACTAAGCAGGTATATACAAAAGTATAAAGACTATTGCTTAACACATTGTAAGCCGCCCTGAGTCTCCAGAGAAGGGCAGCATATAAATCGAATCAATAAATAAACAATAAATAAATAAATTTGTTTGTAAAATTTATTGACCACCCATGTTACCTCAGGGCAATTCTAAATCTAAATGTGATTCAATGTTTACTAAGAATAAGGTTACATCCCATAAAACAAGTTTATTAAAATAAACACAGAAGAAAAAGACTTAGTCTATCTGAATAAAAAATCACATTCTAATCATCAAGGTTCAGTCTGAATCAGGTGGTCAATCCAACTGATTGTTAAGGTATTTAATTTAGTAGTTAGAACAGTTAGGTGTATAATGGGGCAGAACACACAGTTGTAGTTGGAACTGTGGTTCAACTACAACTGGTTGGAGAGTGCTGGCTCAAGCATGAGGCAATCTACGCTGTGATTGGTTGCTGTGGGTGTTAAGGTGGAGTTTCCCCTTTCCCCCCTTTTTTTTTCTGTGTGCTCTGTATGCTGTTTAGATTTACCTCATGATATATCTGTGTTCCTGACTATCTAGTCTACTATAAACGATAAATATATTTATTTATATAAAACTACAAGTTCATGTCAGTGTCTCTGACTTCATTTGGACATTTGCTGTGCAATTTTCTCTGACAGATTCTCTGTCCAGCAAAACAAAGAAGTCTGTAATAGCTGAGCTGGCCCTCATTGGTTCCCATTTTTTGAATAAAGTCTTCCAATTGCTTTTGCTAATTTTGCCTTGGCCTTCATCATTCTGGAGGGGAGGGTATTCAGAGCCAATCAACTCCCACATCTTAGGGTTTGTCCAAATAGCTTAAAAAACCATTCCATCTTCCATAACTTTCCATTCATTACTTTGCATAACCGTCTTAGATGTATACTTAAACAAGATCCATAGCGGTCAACCCATATATAACCTGTACTTTCAGCTTTTTAAAAACATCCTACTATATAGGTACGTATCTTAAGCTGCAAAGGCATCACATTCACATAACTTCATATTCCATTCCACTTTTCCCAATCCTCCAGATACAGGTAGTCTTCGAATTACGATCACAATTGAGCCCAAAATGTTGCTAAGTGAAACATTTGTTAAGCGGGTTTTGCCCCATTATATGTTTTTTCTTGCCACTGTTGTTAAGTGAATCACTGCAGTTGTTCAGTTAGTAAAATGGTGAACCTGGCTTCCCCATTGGCTTTGTTTGGCAGGTCGCAAAACAGGATCATATGACCCCAGGACACTGCAACCGTCATAAATAGGAACCAGTTGCCAAGCATCCGATTTTGATCACGTGACCATAGCGATGCTGCAGTGTGAAAAATGATAAGCCATTTTTTTTCAGTGCCGTTGTAACTTTGAACGGTCTCTAAATGAACTGTTTTAAGTCAAGGACTACCTGTATACTAAGGCTGCAGCTACTTCATATCCTGGCCACCTAGGGAAAAAACCCTTTTAAGCAAGTGATAGGAATGAGTAAAACTGACAGGATACTGATATATAGAGGGGCTTCCAAGAGCCCAGTAGTGGGAAGGCCACTCACTTTCTACCCATTCTCCAAAGCAGCACCAAATTTCAGAGGCACATCATTTCTATCCTTCAGGTATCAGTAATCCTCCAGATGGGTGAGGGGGTCTCAGTGATGTGCAGTCTTCTGCTCCAGGCAAAGCTAGAGGCCCCCTGGTCCGGGTTTCCAATTCTCTCCACAGCTTGGGGGGGGAGGGGGGGCGGGCAAAAAGAAACAAAGAGAAAAAGAAAGAGAGTTCCAATTAGTATAAACCAGTGGTTCCCAACCTTTTTTTGGCCATGCCCCACCTAAGCATCTCTAAAATCCTGATTGTCCCTCCCCCCACATATAATTCTTTATTTACTCAAAAAGTGAACTTTACTCACGGGGAGGAAGCCTAAAAGGCCATTAACTTGGTTTAAACAAGGTTCAAGTTGCCCCCATTAAAAATCAAATTGCCCCATTTTATCAACAGTTGGAGAAGAGGTATACACGAACATTAAAACAATTAAAAATGTTGGGGAAAATGTTGTAACGAACTGAATGAAGATGTAAAAGCAAGATAGAAATGTAGTAAGAAAAATGGGGGAGAAAGGAGGCATAAAATGAATTAACATTGTTATGGAATGATGGGACCAAATAATATTCCTGGGTCAGCCAGAGGCAGTTTTATTGCGCAGTTTCAGAACCAATTGGACAATTTTGAACCAAGAAGAGCTCTGATACAACTGCTTTTATACATCTCCAAGAAAAAAGGATTTTGCAAGCACAGCAGTTTTCCATATATGGTTAACATACATTTGTTACATTATAATTGACACTTTCTAATTACTAAATTCTTTCATTATTTTCTAGTACATGAGATTATTTTAGCTAAACAACCTCAATTCTGTGTTTGCTGATGCGTAGATTCATGACTGCTTTTGGATAATAATTAACTTTTTGTTTCAGATGGATGTCTCTGCATCCTTGACAGATAGGCTCCTCAGAAGATATTATACACACACACACACACACACACACACACACACACACACACACATATATATACATACATATATATATATAAAACCAAGAATGGAATTTAGCTGACCTATTGTAATTTCTAAACAAGCACATTTCTTTCTTTAATAATGTGAATAAAGAGGGTCCTTCAGTGTTCATATAGCTGATCCTGTACTATTCCTACATCATTCACATTATCATAAACGGAAAAAATTGGAAAGAATGTTGTAATAAATTAAATGAAAACATATGATAGAAACACAGTAAGAAAATGATGGAGGAGGAGGAGGAAGTAGAGGTCACAAAATATGTACTCAGATGACACACTGTATGATTAAGGATGCATTGTTTGTTTGTTTAAAATTTTTTTTTTTTTTTTACAAAAAAGTAAAATCAAATTGCCCCCGTGTTGGGAACCACTGGTATAAAACTCTTCCCCTTCTGGAGATAAAGCGAAATCAGCATCCAGCATTCCGAGACACTTTCATCTAACTGGGAAGTTATGAAGCAGCAAAAAAAAACAGCCAGGCGGGGAAAAAAATTCACTCGGGCTTCCTTCGCCTGAATCCTTCCCCCCCCCCCCCCTTCTGCTATTCCCATGCCCGGCTTTGCTATTTTGCACCAGGGACAGAGCAACCCCGCTAAGGGACGGCTAGGGGAGGGCCAGCTGACTCCGGCAACGACGCGCCTCCTTTCCCGCTCGGCTGCAATTAAAAGAGCGGCGAAGCGGGCCTTTCCTTCGCTCCGTTCGTCATTTCGGACACCCCAACCCCCAAGCCCTTTCCTTTTCTCCCACGCAACCCGTCCATTCCCACAACTCGCCTCCGGTCTCCCTTTGAGAAGCACGCCGGGGCTGAGGCGCTACCTACCTACCTATCCCCTCGGTGGCCAGGCGGGGCTCCCACCGACGCGGTAGAAGTGGAGGGCGCGCTCGGGCACGGCCAGCCACCTCCCGGGAAGCCAAGTTTCCAAAGACAAGGACGGGCGGGAGAAAAATCTCCGTCCGAGGCTCCCAGGTTCGAGGAAAGGAAAGGAAGACGCGGGGCGAGAGTAGCTTTCCAAAGGCGAGCGCGCCCCTTTCAGCCCAGCGCCGAGACGAGGAAGGTTCGAGCCACTGCCTGGCTGAATCCGCCGGGAGAGCGAGCGAGGAAAGGCGGCCGTGCGCCGAGGAAAGAAGCAGCAGGAGGAGAGGAAAAACAAGGAGCCGCCGCGGCTTCCTAGAAAGCGTCCCCCGCTCTCCGCCTTGCGAGCCGCCGCCGCACTGAGGTTCGGCAGTCCCGAAAAGCTCCTCTTGGCTTTTCTGGCCCCAAAGCTTCAGGCGGGGCCGCCCACGAGGCGAGGGAGGAGAAAAACAAGCCTCCTCGGGGAGACTCGAGGCGCTGGCGGCAAGGCGGACGCCGTCCTCCGTGCCGCGCTCCGCGAGCGCTCTCTGCTGCCGAGGCCGCGCATTCCTCGTCGCTCGCCTCGGTCTTGGGAAGAGGGCGGTGAAAAGGAAGGTCCCCAAGGCTGAGCCCGACCTCTCCAGAGGCGAGTGGGAGGGCTTTAGAGTAGACCAAAGCGTCGGTTCTTGAATATCGCTCCGGCCCGCAGATGCTGAGCCGAGAGTCTCGACGCAGGAGCTTCTGCAATAATGGGAGGAAAGAGTAACTTAAAAAACGGGATGAGCGTCGAAAGAGGTTGTGAGGACACGTCTATGTTTTGCTGAGGGCATTTCCCTCCCCCCCTCTTGCAGAACCGTGACTGGAAGCCGAGAACGCTTTTTTGACTGAAAACACGCCGGACGGTAGAATAGCCCCAACCAGGGAATTGAGCCGTCGATGATCTCGGTCTCCGGAGCTTCTGACTAGCCTGCTCAATACTGTTTGAAATCAGTAAAGGTGGGGGGTTTTTTGGTTTTTTGTTTTGGTCTGTTTCTGTCGGAATCGGAATCATTTGGGAACCCACTGGTAAGTGACTTCCTTCCCCACTTAGAACAGTGATTCTCAACCTGTGAGTTGGGACCCCTTTGGGGGTCGAATGACCCTTTCACGGGGGTCGCCTAAGACCATCGGAAAACACATATTTTCAATAGTTTTAGGAATAATTTTATGATTGGGGGTCACCACAACATGAGGAACTGTATTAAAGGGTCACGGCATTAGGAAGGTTGAGAACCACCTTCCTAATGCCGTGAAGATAAGAAGAAAGGAAAGACGCTAAAAAAAAAAGATTTAAACTGAATTTCCAATGTTTCTAGAATAACAGCAGCAGGAGGGTTTATTTCCTTTCCCTGATTTTTGTTTTTTTGGTTAATCCAAAATTATTCTGCTGTCATTCTGAAGATTCTTCAAGGAAGCATATTGCTGAATAATTGGGGTTTTTTTTTAAAGACTGAGAGAAATGAGAATTATTCCTGTAAAGAAAAGAGCAATAGAAACGCCATATTTATCCTCTGTATAACCTAAGACAGGAGCTGTGAGACATTAGCTACGGAATTTTAAGGAAATAACAAGGCTATAAATTTATTAGTACATTCCATGCTGGGAAACTAGTTGGCACACTAAACATAACAGGAAAGCAGTTGTCATGCTAAAATTAATAATGTTGTTATTATCAGGATGTAGCAGCTGTCAAGTGGGTAGAATGACTAGGAAACCAGAGGTTAAGACTGTGCTTATCTGATGCAAACTGACCAATGATGGGGTGGGGATTTGGAAATGTATTTAAACTCTGTACTCACTTGTATATCATTGCTCTTGTGTGGCTCTACCCATATGAGCACAGAAGGCCAACTTTTGCGAAAGTTCAAATAAAGCTCTTGTATTGTTCAGTGTCTCCTGTTGATTCAAACTGAGAAATTTAAATCTCACAAGACCAAAACAAACACACCAGCTAGTAAAGAGATTTAAAGCTTTATTGTTTACTTTAGCAAGTAAATTTAAACAGAGTCAAAAAACTTGCATAACACACCAGGCAAGATGGTAAGAACCCTCTGTTCAACTTTCAGGAGCCTTAGATGGAACAACAGCAGAGATTATGAGAAAGCCCACTTTAATCCATTTAAGTTTATGTATTGCTTATTATTTAGCACATAATTATAGCTCTGATATTTTGGAATTATTCTGCTGGTGAACCTACTTGTTAGGTATATATCAGTGATGGTGAACCTATGGCATGCGTGCCAGAGATGGCACGGAGCACCCTCTGTGTGGTCACGTGAGCTGTCGCCCCAGCTCAGCTCTGCCGCACATGTACACATGCCTCCCACCGGCCAGCTGGTCTTTGGGTCTCTGTCACTCATGCGCGGTGGACAGCGCATGTGGAGGGCGCATGTATTTGTGGGGTGAGGCGCATGCATTCGTGAGGGTGGGGGGCATGTGTGCATGTGTAGGGGGCACAGTGCATGTGGGGTGCGCACGCATGCATGGGGCCACACGCACATTGCATTTGGGGAGTTTGCGTGCACGCGCGCTTTGGGCATTCGGTCTGGAAAAGGTTAGCCATCACTGGTATATATGATGACACAAGAGCAGTGTTGGTGAACCTTTTCGGCACTGAGTGCTGAAACAGGAGCGCGTGTGTGTGAGCGTGTATCAGACACCAGAAGAGCAGCCACCCAGTGTGCACGCACACGCCAGGAAGATGATCTTCCGGTTTGTGGTGCACACATGCACACCAGTGAGCTGGCCTTCGCATGCGCATGCACGCCAGAAAGCAGAAGACAAGGTGGCTGGAGCGCATGCGTGCGCTGGAAACTAGAATATCATCTTCCCGGCACACAAATGTGTACTTGAGGGCTGCTCTTCTGGTTTTCAGCGCTCCCAGATGTGTGAAGACCAGCTGGCCGAGCAACGGGTGACAGCTTGCGTGCCAGGAGAGATGGCTGTCAGCGTTCCAGAAAACCCCCGACTCCCAGTAAAGACGCGGAAGCAGGCATTTTCCAAAGTTCTCTTTATTAGCAATAGGTAAACTGGCACACTGGGAAATCCCAAATCTGAAAAACCCGGGCTTTCCTTTACTAATACAAAGCTCCCAAAACCAACCCCTTTCTCCCCCTTTCGGTCACATGCTCCAATCACTGTCGGTTTCGCCTTGGCCCAGCCCTTGACCACTCCTCCTCCAGCTGCTGGACCGCCCTGATCTTGACCGATAGGAAAAACTGTTATTATGGCTACTACCTCTCCTCTCCTAAATCCCCCCTCCTATTTTCCCACACATGAGGAGATGGCAGCATTGAAGCTTCCAGCTTAATATGGCTTCCAAGGCTGACAATGGCTCTGTGTGCCACTTCTGGCACGCGTGCTATAGGTTCGCCATCACGGCACTAGAGGGAAACCAGACTATCTGCCTTTGTATTTAGGAATGTCTACTTGTCAAGATGATAGATAAGACCCTGGTAACCAATTACTTATGATGGAAAAGCTAAGAACCCCTTCCCCTAATATCTTTATTGTCAAGGTTCCAACTTACGAATCCAACCAACTCAGCATTCTGAGACTTGAAACTTCCTCAAAGAACTGTTTTATTTAGTACATCATTTTGACACGAATGAAAACAAAACCAACTCTTAACTATTTCCCATGGTTTCAACATAATTAAAAATTAACTAGCTCCGTCCCCCATTGTCACGGGTCACATTGTCCAATTAGGTGTTCTGGTGTTTCCCTGGTAACTCTTAGTCTCTGGCCAGCATCTGTTGAGGTGACCTTGGTTCCAATTAGACAATGCATTGTTATTGTCTGGTCTGACATTCCAAATCTCCCATGCAAAGGTGGTTGAGAGTGTGGTAGCGCGGCAGCTTCCCCGGTACCTGGATGAAGCTGTCTATCTGGACCGCTCCAGTCCGGTTTCCGGCCTGGGTACAGCACAGAAACGGCATTGGTTGCGTTGGTGGATGATCTCTGGAGAGCTCGGGATAGGGGCTGTTCCTCTATCCTGGTCCTGTTAGACCTCTCAGCGGCTTTTGATACCATCGACCATGGTATCATGTTGCACTGGTTGAAGGGGCTGGGGGTGGGGGGCACCGTCCTGCAGTGGTTCTCCTCCTACCTCTCTGACCGGTCGCAATCCGTGTTGACGGGGGCAGCGGTCAACCCCGAGGCGCCTTGTTTGTGGGGTGCCACAAGGGTCGGTCCTCTCACCCCTTCTGTTCAACATTTATGTAAAGCCGCTGGGTGAGATCATCAGTGGCTTTGGGTGGAGTTCCATCAGTACGCTGACGACACTCAGCTGTACATCTCCACCCCAGGCCACCCCAACGATGCCCTTGAAGTGATGTCCCAGTGCCTGGAGGCTGTGTGGGCCTGGATGGGGAGAAACAGGCTCCAACTCAACCCTTCCAAGACCGAGTGGCTGTGGCTTCCGGCATCCCGATATAGCCAGCTGGTGCCATCGCTGGCTATTGGGGGCGAATCACTGGCCCCCACGGAGAGGGCTTGCAACTTAGGCATCCTCCTGGACGCACGGCTGTCTTTAGAAGAGCATATGACGGCCGTGGCCAGGGGGGCTTTTTATCAGGTTCGCCTGATACGCCAGTTGCGTCCCTTTCTGGATCGGGACTCCCTACGCACGATCACTCAAGCACTCGTCACTTCCCGCCTGGACTACTGCAATGCTCTCTACATGGGGCTCCCCTTGGGGTGCACCCGGAGGCTGCAGTTGGTCCAGAACGCGGCCGCGCGGGGGATTATGGGAGCAACGGAGCGCTCACATATAACACCTCTCCTGCGCGAGCTGCACTGGCTTCCTGTGGTCTTCCGGGTGCGCTTCAAGGTGTTGGTGACCACCTTTAAAGCGCTCCATGGCTTAGGGCCGGGGTATTTGCGAGACCGCCTTCTGCCGCCGATAGCCTCCCACCGACCGGTTCGCTCACACAGAGAGGGCCTCCTCAGGGTGCTGTCGACCAGGCAGTGCCGGCTGGCGACCCCCAGGGGGAGAGCCTTCTCTGTGGCAGCACTTGCCCTCTGGAATGACCTGCCCCCTGAGATACGCACGATATCAGACCTCCGGACTTTTCGTTGGGCCCTGAAGACACACTTGTTCCATCTAGCTGGGCTGGCTTGATCCCATCCTCTTAGTTTTTTAATCGAAATTCGGTTTTAATTGGGTTGTTTTAAATTCGTGCCAAAATTATTTAATTGTTTTTTTAAATGTTTTTAAATTTTATATACTATGTTTTATCCTGGCTGTACACCGCCCTGAGTCCCGCAGGAGAAGGGCGGTATAGAAATATAATAAAATAAATAAATAAATAAAATACTATGGCGCAGCTGAGAAACGGATAAGCAGGCCTGGTCCGTTTCAAAGTTGACATTTATATTAAGTAGCTAAAACT